AGTCCCACATTCATGACTGGCAACTCATAATTGTGTGTTTCCAGCTCCAGGGGATATGACGTCATATTCTGTATTCTGTGGGCGCCTTTACTCACATGTTCACATACCTGTCCCATACATACATGCATAATTAAAAGTAAAAATATGTCTTAAACACAGACATTTACAAATGTAAAATTTCTAAGATACTGTAATCAACTCCCATGTACCTGTTACTCAGTTTCAGCAATTAATCTTTTGCTATTTCTTGTTCATTTGTACTCTGTTTACTTCCTTGACTACTTATTAGATTTTTTAAAATAGTCTCCTCTCCCCCCTCCAAAAGCAGGTTTTGCTTTGTAGCTCAGACTATCTCCCAGCTCTTGCTTGATTATCCTTAGCCTGAAAGCAGAGGCTGAAGAATTGCTTGTGTTCATCAAATTCAAGGTCAATCTAGAAAACATAAAGACCCTGTTTCAGCAGAAAAATCTATATTAAATACAGGACTATGCAATAAGATCGTACTTTAAAAAATGTTTAAAAAAATTAAGCCAGGTGGTGGCACACACCTTTAATCCCAGCGCTCGGAGGAAGAGGCAGGCTGATCTCTGTGAGTTTGAGAACAGTCTTGTCTACAGTGTGAGTTCTAGGACAGCTAGGGCTACACAGAAAGACCCTGTCCCAAAAAACCAAACAAAACTCCCCAAACTCTATACATTAAAAAACTTGCAAAAAGTGAAGATGTGTGGACAGAGTGATGTACTGTGGGACACACTACAGCTTCCACGATGAGATGTTGTCTGTGCTTTGTTTGTTTTTATTGTTTGTTTGTTTGTCTGTTTCTTATGTTTGGGGGGAGGTTGCAAGGGCAAAGGGTGGAGATGAGGGGATGAGGAGATGAGCAGGACTGGAATGCATGATGTGAAACTCATAGAGAATAAAAAGTTTAAAAAAACTTAGAAAAATGTGAAATAGTGTTGTATTTTTATTTTTCTGGAAAGCATTAGAAATTTATATTGATATAGAAGTTATTTTCACAGTAAGTGATGTAATTGTTTCCTATTTATTTGTTGTTGGAGATTGAGTCCAGGGCCTTAGGGAATGGTCTAAGTACATGCTTTACCAATAAGCTATACAACCAGCTGCTTCCTTTTAAGCGAAGGTCATCTTTGGGTGGTGTTGGTCAGCTTAGTGACAATGCTGGTGAGGTAGAACACAGCAGTCAGCAGAAGAGACAATGGGGCAGGTTTTTCCTGCATTACCACATTAGCATTACCACAATCCAGGTGGATTGTGTTGTAGGGGGCCTATCATGGAGCAGAGGGAGAGAGGGAGGAGGCAGTTTTACTGGGACAGTTGTACAGAGACAGGTTGAAGAGAGAATAAGCTAGACACAGGTGAAGACAGACAAGCCAGAGAATGAGAAGGAGCCAGAAGATTAGAACAGATTGCTAGAGTTAGCTTGAGGCAGAGCAGTTCAGTCAGAAGCCAGTTTGAATCGGTCATCTCAAGAGGAGTTTGAGGCAGAACAGCTGAGTTAAATCAGCCAGCTAGAGCTTAGAAAGCACTAGAAAGGACGAGCTTATTCAGTAAGTCTCAGAGGTTGAAAACATTCTAGGCCTGGATAAGATTGTAGGGAGGCTAGAGGCTTCCAGGACTAGGTCTAGGTTAGCAGTAGAGGCTGTAAGCCTCGGAGACAACCTCAGGTGAATAAAGGTTACTTTTACATTGAAGTTAAATTACGGAACCATCAGTAATTTCTTAAAGATTATAAACAGGTCCTAGAACCATTGCCCAAGACAAAAAAGATTGAACATGTAGATTTCATGGGATGAATTTCCTGTCATAGGTGAATTCCTCTCCAGTTTACTCTAGAGAGCATTAAGATATCCTTTGGCGTTCTGGAGAGTGATTAGGAACACTCCCTGCTTTTCCAGAGGGCCTGAGTTTGCTTCCTAACACCCACACTGGGCAGCTCCTAAGCATCTGGAACTACAGCTCCAGGGAATCCAGCATCCTCTACCTCTCTGCCTGTCCTCTGTGGGCACATGTATGTGCCTGTACACATGCACACACGCATGCACACATGCAAGCCAGCAAGAAAGTAAAATGTAAAAACTTCTCCAGCTAGATTCAGTTTATCTGAAGGAGGTGGTGGGTTTTGTTTGTTTGTTTGTTTTGTATGTTTTTGTGGTTGAGCTGCTTGACCATTGTAGAACCTGGAAAATGATTGAAGAGGGGATAGCAATTATAGAGCATATACTGTAGAAGCCTACATGATTATTGGAGCTGTGCAGGTTGACTTAATTCTTTAATAAACATCAGTGATGAGATATTTCCTAGTCAATGAGTGTGGAATGAGGTCTGGAGTTCATGTAATTTGCTCAGTTATTTTGCCAGCAATTGATCAAAGTAGGGTTAAAGCTAGGTCTCACCTTTCAAATGCACATTGTTTAACTGTTTTACTTGGTGAGTTTTCCTATGATGAAATTTAAGTAAAAATATCACTTTAGAAGAATTAAAGTATATTTCTAAGGGAGTGTTTTGAATTTTAATGTTTTGGTCTTTATAAGACAGATGAACATATCATTTTTAAGTTTGGTGAAAATTAAAGAAATGGCCTTTGAAATTCTTTTAGCTTTGGAATTTTAGATTCTATGTAGCTGGCAAAAATTGAAAGTGCTTTTTATGAAAGTTAAATTTAGATATGTCATAATGTTGTAATAGACCAACTCTTATCCTTCTGAAAAATTCATAGAAGAAGAATCATTAACTTTAGAATGTATAATAGAAGACTGATGACTCTTGCAGTACTGAAATGAGTTTGGATTTTCCATTCTCACTTAGAAGACCGGGATGACAGTGACTTCCACACTTAGGAGTTCATATGGCCAGGGTTAAATTAGTAATAGTTTTTCTCTAGTTTTCCATAAGTTAAATTTGGGACAGATACAAGCTATAAATAGGATTCCTTTATTTGCATTCACTCTGAACATTTGGGTGCTTTATGAATCATTGAAGTATAGAATAGAGTTTTTTTTTTTAAGTTTTTAAGAAATTAGATGAGGATTAGTCACTGAAAATTCAATGTCTCTAAAATGAAGTGAAAAATAAAAGTAGTGTTGAAATGTTTACACAATTTGGGGGGAATAGGACTATTAAAATCATAGTGTTGACTGTGTCTGGGTATCATAGAGGGAAATAAGTGGTATTGTATTTCCTACTTTTAAATTTGAAGTTGGAAAAGATTTTTGTTATATCTGGTAATGGTTGACCTTTTTATTTTTGTTGTGTAAACAGCAAGAGAGCTCTTTAGTAATAGTGTTACCTGTGGGCTGCTTACGCTAGAGTTCTGGTTTCATTGCTAATCTGTTTATGATGTTGCGCTCTGCCACTCTTTACATGTCAGACAGCAGAAAATGGCACATAAGTAAAAATCCTACAAACAAGTAGGATATAAATATGTAGAGCAACTTAACACATTTTTGGTAATAAAAATGATCCATTGTTCCTTGGAGCACCTAAGCTATGAAACACATAGCACCTAAGGAGCAGTGTTATATAATGGATCCACGCCTGAAAAGCTTATTGTTTAAGATGGATGAAGGTTATCTGTGGACATCTTTTTTTTATTTTTTTATTTATTTATACAGTATTCTGTCTGCATGTGTGCCTACGTGCTACAACAGGGCACCAGATCTCACTATAGATGGTGGTTGTGAGCCACCATGTGGTTGCTGGGAATTGAACTCAGGACCTTTGGAAGAGCATCCAGTGCTCTTAACCTCTGAGCCATCTCTCCAGCCCATCTGTGGACATTTTTAGATGTTTCACAGTACTGTGTATTTTTAAAGATTTGCTTACCAATTATAACTAGTAAAATTTTCAGCATGAAAGTTTTAAAGTTGTCAATATAAATGTTGAAACTTAATCTTGGCTGAGACGTATGCTGCTAACAATAGAACTGTACAAAGATTTTTTTTCTTTTTTGAGAATTTAATTACATTTCTCACTCCAAACCCCCCCCCCCACATACTTCCTTGCCCTCCTTCAAATTCATGGCCTTTTTTAAAATTGTTTTTGCCATTTTGCATGCATATATATTTATGTATAAGCATATATATATGTGTGCCTATATATGTATATATACATGTAGTTCATAGATACACGAATATGTCTATATACATATATACACATGCATATGTGCACACATACATACTTATTTCTAAATATAACCTGTAGTCGATCTGTGTGCATGTTCTCAGGGCTGACTGATTGGCACTGAGCAACCGGCGGTGTGCTCTCTCCTGGGAAAGGCTACCTCTCTAAGTTCCTGCTTTTTTCAGTTGCCTATAGTAGGGTTGAGGCCTCATGGGCTTTGCTCTGTCCAGTCTGGCATGTTAATTGGTGTTATTCTTGCTCAGTTCGCATTTGGGCAGTTATTTTGGTGAAAGTTTTTGAGTGTAGCTGCTGATACTAGGAAACACAATCTTAAAAGAAACTCCCATATCCTTTGGCTCTTACAATCTTTCTGCCTTTTCTTCACAGTCTTTCCTGAATCATAGGTGCAGTGGTGTTTGTAGATGTATCCATTGGGACTGGGCTCCACAGTGTGGCTGCCTATGGTTTTTTTTTTTAATGTTCTCCATTGTTGCAAAGAGACATACCCATATCCATGGGTAGAAGGACAGATATTTATAGATGTTGTTAGGGATTAGGCTGGTTTAGTAAAGTAGTGGCTGTAAATTCTCCTGCAGTAACCATGACTTCACTGAGTACTTAGCTAGGTTTCTAGTACCAGACATGGTCTCTCTCTTGTTAAGGGGGTCTTAAACCCATTACAGAGCCTTTATTACCACCCAGGTATGTGTGCTATCATTGTACCTGTAGGGTTATTGTGCCATGCTGGTCATTGTGGTTCATAGGCATCAGAGCTGGGTAGGACTGTTAGTTGCCTCCCTCCTTTGGAAGCTTGCATGACACCTTCTGGTATCATGAAAGCTAGTACTCAGAGAGGGGCCATGCAGGTCAGTTGCAACTCCAGGGGCCTCTGGGCTCTGTCTCTGAAGTGCATGGGGTCTTCAGCAGTAGTTATTTGCCTTCTGCCTCTGGAAGGCAGCCACAGTCAGCAGCAGTGGCCAACTGCGCAAAGAAGTGCTTCTCATGTCTGCTATTAGGTTTTGTTAGGTGGTCTCTGGCTCTTTGAGGGAGCACCGTCAGCCCACATGAGGAAGACTCATTAAAGACTCATGCTTATTTATACACTAATTGATTTGTACTATAAAGTTGTGTGTGTGTGAAAAGTTAATGGTACGATTCCTTGTGACTTTTTAAAGACATCTTGTTATTTTACTCCTCCTCCTTCCCTAGTTACCGCCCTTCCCTTTCCCTAGAGAGCTTCCCCTTTACCCAGTTAGATCACTTGTATCCTGCAATCCTCTTTACCCTCCTCCCGAAAGATCTTTCTTAATTGTTAAGAAATATCTTAGCCCAACCTATTTATTCACTTAATTTAGGCAATATTTTATGCAATGAAATTACTCTACAACTTACTGTAAGCAGCATAAATCTTACATATTTATTGACATAAACATGCAATTTATATGTGGGTTTGATGACAGAAACTAATATTTTTTAAATAATGAAAAAATTTATGTGCAGTTTTATTAAATGATGTCTTATGTTTTCCTTCTTGGATTGATGTAGATCACATTTTTTTTTTTTTTACAATAAATGCAATAGAAATATGTCCTATAAAAATAATTTAAAATTATGATCATTTTGGAAGGTTGGCAAAGTAATTACTCTTTTGTTTTGTTTTTGTTTTTTTGAGACAAGGTTTCTCTGTGTAGTCTTGGCTGTCAGGATTTTTGTAAGTCACTTGGTAGTTAATATTTGGGTTTTTAAAAATCACATTTATTTACTTATTTATGTGTCTCTGTGTATGTGTGTGTGTGCGCTCATGTTCTGGTACTGATGAGGAAGTTAGAGGACAGCTCATAGGGATCAGTTCTCTCTTCCCATGTGGTTTCCAGGAGTCCAACTCAGGTTTTCAGACCTTCTTGCTGGCTCCAAGGCGCTTTTTCAGTAGCCACTGTGATAAATCATTTCTACTTTTTTTTTTGGCCTTTATTGTGTAGAAGATAACTGTAGATTGCAACTCTCTGAGTAATGGTTGGAAAAGGAGGGAATCACGGTGTATAGTGAATTCTGTAATGACTGATAAGTTGGCTGTTTTCCCATTCTGTTGTTAAATGCAGGGTGTCTTTACTTCTGGCACATGGGAAGAGAGATCCGATGAAATTTCCTTTGCTGGCTTCAAGTTTTCAGTCACTCATCACTATCTTGTACAGGAGTCTACTGATAAAGAAGGGAAGGATGAAGAATCGGAGGGTATGGGTTTCTTTTCTTGTCATACTTGTACAATATTTTATGAGTCTATAATTTTTAGTTATTAATTTAATGCTCATAATTCAGTAATATCCGTAGGAACTGTTTTTTTCCCCCTCGTCTGAAATACATTCTGCGCTAGTACTGCTTCTGGAGCAGAGGAAAAGCCCCAGTGGCAGTCCCTGGAGAATTGCGTCAGCACATGCTTCCTGAGCGACGAACGCGCCAAGCACTCTGCTGAGTCTTTTTGAATAAGATCTTAGATGGCAGGTGCATTTCATTAGGGAAGATAAGGTGTTGAAGTAACTGTAAAAGGAGGTAGGAAGTGATAAGTGAGATCTTAAGGACAGATGAAATTCCACTGAATTTTGGTGGGGGCTGACATAATCAGGAGAAAGAGATCAGGTAAGGCTATTTGGAGCCTGAAGCAAGTAATTTGGCCTTTGAAGGAGTGCAAGTAAAGGGGATTTGTGGGCTGATTTACTTGTGGGAAGTGCATTAACATTCTGTTTGGACTGGCTAGTTACTTTACCCCTCTAAACTTGTGTTATCACATCTGTAAAGTAATACAAGGTACCCGAGGGGTTACTGTGAAATTTAATGAGATACAGTACCTAAGTCCTTGTCCCAGTGTCTGATCTCCACTAGGCATTTAGTAAGTGGAGCTGATGATTTGTTAGTAGATCATGTAATCTACATGTGCTGAAATGCACTCGTGTGTAACAGTGAGCAGAGTGTTGAATAAACACGGATGTGAGCTGCTAATGAAACAGAGTCGTCAGTAGTTGTGCCTTTTGTCTTGGGGATCCATCCTAGCGTGCCTAAAGCCATAAATAGTGCCGGAAGTGCTGTTACCGAATGCTCTACGAATGTAAACGTGTGAGAAAGTGTAATTTGTAAGCGGCCACTCTAAGAGACTGCCCGCAGCAGTGGGCAGAGTAGAGTCGTTGTAGGGGTCTGCCGTGAATAAAAGTTACTAAACCTGGTTACTTTTGAGGTTTGTCATTAAACACTACTGGAGCGTATTTGGTAGGAGACTCCAGAAAGCAAAGTTATAGACAAGATGGAAGCACTATACTGGTCAGAGTCTTTCTGAAAATAAGTAGATACAATGCGTTACATTCTTTTGGTCAAAGCAGGTATTATTTATAAGCATGGGCATGAAGTGTCTGCTTTTCCTAGGTAGGGATGGCATGATACATTTTCTGTTACATGCATATCCTACAGAGAAAACTATGTAACTCCTGCATTTAGGCTGAGAAAGTAGAGCGAAAACATTGACCAGATAGACACATACATGTAAGATAATTATGTAGCAACATAAACCAAACAGAAGGTGAGTGTCTGTTTTGGGAGAAAGGAGAGGAAGAAAATTATGCATTTTGTAAAAGGGATGATAATCAAGGCTATCTGAGTTCAGTCTTGTATAAATAAAGGAAACTGTTAAAAATAAACAAGCGTTACTGATTTTTAGAAAGACCTTATATTTGAGATAGGCCGCTTCGGTGAGGATGTTTCAGATCAGTGTTTCTGAAACAAACAGATGAAGAGGATTGGTGTAAGAGAAGGTGAAAGTGGTGAAGGCGTTGCTGCTTCTGCTGGGTGTTCTGGGAAGTTTCCTTTCATTTGGTTGTGAACAAAGCTGTGACTAAAGGAGGGAGTTAAAAGAAAAACTGAGATAACTTAGATACACTCTTAAGGCTGTGCTACCAGCAGTGAGGGCTGACTTTCATTGTTTTGGAGTTCTTTATTATTTTTGGTTAATCAAGGTTTCAAATTATTGATGCTTTTCCATTTGTTTTATAATCTAGTAAAGTATGTAATAAATTTTGCTAAGAAATTATATCTGACAAGGATGTATTTTATAAGCAGATATTATTTTAGCATCTTAAATTTATTAACTATTTTTGAATGCATATAATGATGATTTGTGTCAGTGCCCGATTGTGGACCAGAGTGTAAGTGCTAAAGATGCATGGGTTAGGTATGCATCTGAGTAGAGAAAGGTTTATAAATGATCTCAAAGATGTCTAGGTAATAGAAAGGCCACCTGTAAAAAGGTGACAAGGATTTCCCAGGAATCTAAACTTTAGCAATTGCTAGTCTACAGTCTAAAATCACTGTACAGTTTGAAGTTTAAATGGATATGTTTTTACTATCAAATGTTTTGTAGATGCTCTTCCACAATCAATGCAAGATTTGCTATGTATGAATAATGACTTTCCTCCAAGAGCACATTGCCTGGTAAGATGGTATGTATCTTTTTTTATTCAGATGTTTGTGTGTGTGTGTGTGTGTGGACTTTTGTGCACACATGTGTTTGTGCACGTGTGTTTTGTTATTGTTTGTTTATTTTGAGATCGGGTCTCTCTACATAGTCTTGGCTGTCCTGGAACTCAGTGTAGACCAGCCTGGCCTCAAACTCGCAGAGATTTGCCTGCCTCTGTCTCTCAAGAAGTGGATTAAAGGTTTGTACCATTATACCTAGCTAGTATGTGTGTTTTCAGGTGACTACAAGACCAACTCTACATTTAGTGATGGGCTAGGAGACTGAAAGAAAGGACCAGAAACTGGAGGTATTATGACTTATAGCAACAGGTGCCACGCACAGTCAGCAGAGGGAGAGGAGAGGGATTAAAAGCTGCAGACATCAGGGTTGGAAGAACTTTCTCTAATGAGGCCCTATAAGTTATACTCATTTCCCTCAGCAACAAATTATGATGGTGTATGAAACGTGCTCTCTCAGGAAGGCTTGTTAGAGGCTCACTGCTCAAAGCTTTAAAGGATTTGGTTAGTAGGCATCTTCTGTCTGGATAGTATATACCAAAATTCAGACTCCCAAAAGGACAACAGGTGTAGAACATAAACCGTAGTATTTGTACAAGCATTGTAAATACACCGAGTAAGCATTTGTCAACTTGGGAATGATGAGAACCCTTCCCAAGTCCAGATTCCCAGATGCTAAGCGAGAGCCAACTCCATAGGCATCTCTCAGGGCTACTGTCTGGAGCTTGCTGGGAACTCTTGCACATTGCACTTCATAATCCAGAGTGATACCTACTTGCAGTTCTGATGAGCAACAGAGAACACTTGAATATCATAGATTTAGTGTATATTATTGTAAGTTTAAATAAAATGCTGACTTCAGTTACGTGATAAAATCAAAACCTGCGTGTCTAAATATTTGTAAATGTGATACAAGAGTATAAGAGGCACTTTACATTTGAAAGATTTCTCCAATCTTTCTCAGTTATTCAGAGTCTCTGGATGTTATGTTGGAGGGAAACATTTAAGTGTACTCTCTAGGGAACATAACTCAATGGGTGGAGTGCTTGCTTAGCGTGCATGAGATTCTCAGATGATCCATAGGAGCTCATAAGCCAGATGTGGCATTACAGGCCTGTAATCGTTACATTTCTGTGGAGGAAGCAGGGGAGACCCTGCTATAAAATGTTTGCTATATTGCTGGGAGTTACTGGGAGGTTTTTCTTTCATCTTTCCTAAAAATTAGAAAAATAGCAGCCAAGTATTTGAAAATTAAACCTATTAAATATGCCTATATTTTCTTTTATTTAAAAACATTGTGTTAAAACACTTACTGTGAGTCAGACACAGACATACCAAAAACTAGTTCCCTACGTCAGTAGCGATAGCTTTAGTCAGGAAGTAGACAGTGGCCACACTGTGTGATAAATGCTCATAGAGTACATAACAGATTTGATGGAGGCTCTGTTCCCCTAATCCACACAGATCAAGTCAGGAAAATGTTTCTTGTTAGAGCTGATAATGCACCCTAATCCTGAAGGACCCATAGGAGGAAGCCAAGCTGTTTCGTTTGAAGATGAAATGCCCACCGTAGCCAGGAGTCAACTGGCTCTCCTATAAGCTCTGGTAAACCAGTGTTTATCTCCCATCTGTATGAATTTGAATTCTTTCAGTACTTCATAAAAGTGGCGTATTTATTCTTTTGTGACTTACTAGTAGGCCTATGTTTTCATTTCTGTGCATTTATCCTGTTTTAAGGGTAATTATTTCATTGTATGATGTACCACATTTTGTGTGTTTATGGGCATTTGGCTTGTTTCTTTGTTTGGATGCTATGAACAGGAGTGCCTGCCTTCTTTTTTTTTTGTTTGTTTGTTTTGTTTTTGTTTTTTTGGTCTATACCCAGAAGTGGGATTGCTATGGTGAATGTTAGTTCATTTTTAATTTTAAAAATTTTATTATTTTTAGGGTGAGGCTTTACTGTGTAGTGTTGGCTGGCCTAGAACTTGCTATATAGACCAGACTGGACATGAACTTAGAAATCCTCTTGTCTCTGAGTGTGTCTCCCACCACACAGCGTTACTGCATTTTGTTCCCACTGGTAAACCAGATCTCCAGTTTCTTTGGACCTCTCATTTTTATAATAGTGTCCTAACGATTGTGAAGTAGTGTCTCGTGAAGACCCTGATTCATTTCCTCCTGGTAACTCCTGATGTTCCTCATCTTTTCTTGCAGTTTCTTTTTTAAGCATTTGTGTGACCTTTTGGGAGATGATAGCTGCCCGAATCCTTTGTTCATTTAAAAATCTAGTTGATTAGCTGGCCGGGGTGGTGTGTACTGAGGAGGCAGAGACAGGCAGAACTTTGTGAGTTCTAGGTCAGCCAGTGATATACAGGAAGACCCTGTCAAAGAAAGGAAAAACTTAGAAAAACCTAGCCATTTACTTTTTGTTATTGATAGCTTTTTTGCACACTTTTCCCCCCTTTTTTCTTTTTTCTTTCTTTCTTTCTTTCTTTTTTTTTTTTGTTGACTTGGTAAAAGGAATAGTTTCAGGTCTCAAGTAGAGCTTGTAAGGAAATTTAAATAAATGAATGATTTTGACAGCATACAGATCATCATGATAGGAAAAAGGTGTTAAAATTCAGAGAATGGTGTATGTTTAATGGAGGTCATCAGTTGGTATTTAAGCTAACTCTTTAAGAAAAGATTGAATTTGGAAATTTAGTGATGCTTCTCTCTTTGTGTCTCTGTCTCTGTCTCCGGTCTCTCTCTGTGTGTGTAGCATTTCACACAAAGCATAGGAGGTAGAAGATATTGCAGAAAAATAAAAGGCCCTTTTTAACGCAGCAACAGCTTATTAAATCGAAAGGGTTATTTGGCAACAGTTTCAGGAAGGCAGATGTTCTCGTTGTTCAGGAATGTAACTTCGAGGAATGTACTGTACAGATCATTTGTAGGATTCGACCATTAAGTTATTTCAGCAACGGCAACCTGGGAGCAGAACTGGTCAGTAGAGTTTGGTCCATGACAGTCAGGAATAGACAGAACATTTCTGGAAGAACACCAAGAAACTTGTTTTCTTCCAAGGATAATTTATTCACATCCTGGGCCTTTCAGTTATCTGCTGCTGCCTCTACATGATGAATCTTGATTTTCCATGTCAGAGGGTGGAAGTAAGCTGAGGAGTGAAATAAATTTTGCTTATGAATCCTTCAAACTATTTCAGAGTCATAGCAGCATCTAAACAGTGAACAGTATGAGTTAGACTTTAAGGAGAGGTTTGTTTGTTTGTTTGTTTGTTTAATGAGAGGATTTATTAGCTAGGCTTACAAGACAGTCTGTGTCTCAGCAGTCCCAATCTGGTGATGAAAGTAAAGGAGGGTTTTTATATACTGCACTACAAGGGGTTACTTGAGAAAATAAATTAAAACTAGGATTTATGACTACTCATGCAGCGACTAATGTAAAGTAGGCAAGTGAGTATGAGTAAATTATTTTCTTTATTTAAAAATTATTAAAGTAAATGCACTTAGGAGTATTGAGATGAGTTGTTAGGCAGAAACAACTATCAGCTTGGGCTTAAATTATTACTGTTTTTTAAAAGGTAGCCAGCAGGGGCTGGAACAGTAGCTCAGCTGTTAAGAGAACTGGCTGCTTTTCCAGAGGACCTGGGCTTGTCAGAGGACAGCTCTGTTTTTTCTTCTTTATTTTTATGGGGGTTCTGGGGATTGGACTTGGATTGCCAGGCATGTGTGACAAGAGCCTTCTTACCGGCCTTGTAAACTGAATTGTTATTTAATGGTTACTGTAATTTCAAAAAATGACTTCATTTCTAGTGAATAGGTGGGCTGAAAAAGATGGAAGTACTTCTTAAAGAAAACTCAGGGCCTGGGTTAGCTCAGTGGTAGAGCAGTTACCCAGCAAGCATGAGAGCCTGCTTTTGACCCCAGGGAGAAAAATGAAAAAGAGATTCAGGTGGCGGTCATGGCAAGATGGCTTAGCTGGTTAAAATGCTTCGGGCATAAGCCTGACAACCGAAACACAATCCCTGGAATCCACTCAAAGAGAACTGACTTGAAAGTTGTCCTTTGGCCTTCACATGTGCACTGTGGCACAGGCATGACCATGCACTCACTGAGGGTTTTTGGTTGTTTGTTTTGTTTTTTGTTTTTTAGAGAAGGATTCAAATGTATATCTATCCAGTTGCCATGTGGGGTGGGAATAGGAGAAAATAAAAAAGTCTGACAGTACAAATTTGGCTTAGATTTCCCACAGGGAAACTTCTCATTTTTTCCTGGGGTGATTCTCTCTTAAAGGTATGGCCTGCGCGAGTTTGTGGTGATTGCTCCTGCTGCACACAGCGATGCGGTGCTCAGTGAGTCCAAGTGCAACCTCCTCCTCAGCTCCATTTCTATCGCTTTGGGAAGCACTGGCTGGTAGGTGCCCTCTCACAGGTGTGAGAGAGTGTTGGAATGCGTTGAATGGCGGAGTCCAGGGAGGTAATCGATTATTCAAGGTGCTCTTCTCCCTGCAGCCAAGAGTTTAGTGCCTGCCTTTGCACATTATTATATACTAGAATTTGCTATGTGAGGGTGAGCTTAGAGCTGTGCTTGGTGGGCAAGTCTTCAATCCCAGCACTCAAAAGGCCTGGCTAAGAGGATCATAAATTCAAGGCCAGCCTGGACTGCAGAGTGAAACCTTGTCTCAAAAGAAAAATAAACCAAGACCCCCAAAAGGAGTGTAATTAATAAAATGTTTGGGAGGTCATTTCTAAAGAAAATTCAGTATTCTTTGTATTTTTAAAATGAAGGATGAATTTTGCTACAAAGTCTAATTTTAAAATTTGTGTAGTATTAGACATTATTTTGGGATTAACTTTTTGTATATGGATGTTTTGTCTGCATGTACCCTGCACACCAAAAGAGGGCATCAGATACCGTAGGACTAGTTATAGATGGTTGTGAGCCGCCATGTGGGGGCAGGGAATTGAATTCAGGACCTCTGGAAGAGTAGCCAGCGCTCTTAACAGTTGAGCCATCTCTCCAGCTTAGGAATTAACTTTCAAAGAATTTTTTTTAAATGTATTTTCATGACCCCTCCTTTTTTTTTTTTTTTCCTGCGGGACAAGATCTTACTGTCTTACTGTGTAGGCCTGGCTGATCTGAAACACTGACCAGGCCAGCCTTGAACTTACAGATATCTGCCTGCCTCTTTTTCCCTTGAGTGCTGGGATTAAAAGGCCTGTGCCACCATGCTCAGTAACTCCCTATTTTTAGCTGTAAGTATTTAAGAACTTGAAGTTAGCTTAATCCATATTCTGCTATTTTAAGTTCTATTTTTTTTTGCATATCAGATAGACCAAAAGACTCTACGTGTAAATTTACTAGTGGACAAATTGATGCACTAGAGTGCCCTAAAGAATATTTTGGACCTTTTAAAAAATGTTTTAATGTTTTGGTAGCATAAGCCTAGCCTTCAATGGTGGAGCCATCTTTCCTCCCTTAAAAACCCTGACAAAGTGGGAGTATTTACCAGTGTAGCAATATTGAGTTAGTATAAACACCATAGCTGTTGTGTTACAGCCATTGTTCCTAGGGAAAATGCGTAGGTTCTTGTGAGCTTTGGTCACATTCTTTTCAACTGTATACGCTATGATCTTGTTTCACGGATGTTTCTGTTTAAAGATAGCATATTATGCTCACAGCCAGCCCCTGAAAGCATGTAACTCGTGTTTGAAGGGAGCGCTTCTTGCACATACATTGTATCTGTAAGACATATTATGGTCTCCGGCACTTAGGAACACTTCCTTCACACCACCTAGATCATGAAAGGACACTTGAGCTGGGTGTGTGATACACACCTTTAATCCCAGCAGGTGGATCTCTGTGAGTTCGAGGCCAGCCTGGTCTATAAAGTGAATTCAGGCAGCCAAGGATACACAAGAGAAAACCTGTCGTGAATAAAACTAAAAACCAAAACAAAAGAAAGAAAGGACACTTGTTTATAGTCTGAGAGTTGAAACAGTAAAGCACATTATAGACGTATATTTTTAATCTATTTTATTTGGGTTTATACCTACCATCCTTCTCCACCTCAGTCCCTTTCAACCCCCAACATTAATTAGGCAGGCAAGAAAGAAGGTTAGAGGGGAAAGGAGGTGTAGACCTTCTTAGACTACTTCCTGCTGATTAGGGACATATGGTTTATTGGGGCAAATCCAGTCTCTGTTGTCAGGGTAGCTCTACCTTCCTGTTGCTTTGGTCATGACCACTTGATGGTTTATAGCAATAGCAACAGGGGCAGCAGGTTTCTTCTCCTTTGGAGTGTCGCTGGTTCCTATCTTGGCTCTAGTGTTTATCCCCCTCAAGAGTCCCTAGAATTCCATATGCAAACTGTCTGCCGCTGGCAAAAAAATCGCACCCCCACGAGAGCACAAGGCAAAACGTAATCACCAGCTGTGAAGCAGTCTCTTCTCCCACACCTGGGATTAAAACAAAAACATATTCACATAACATAACTGGGTTTTTAAAGAAACCAAAGTTCTCGCTGCAGCATGTCATTACCTAACTTGAGTTCATCTGGGAACATACACTTTAGATACTCAGAATCTTGCTGCTCTGCATATCCTCAAATAACTGTACTAGTAGTATTGATTTAGGGGGGTAACAGATAAAATTTTAGTGAGTAGGCTAATTTACAGATGCAGAAATCTGTGAATAGTGAGAATCAGTTCTACCTTTAAATGACAAACATTTCACCACAAAGTTGGTTTTAAAGTTTTTTTCTTCCTTTTTTTTTTTTTTTCTAAGATGCTAGAAGGCTTCATCAGTTTATTAAGTTAAGGACAGGAGGAACTAAGTATATCTTTGTATTAAATGAGAAGCTGAGATTTAGAAGTTTTCCTTTATATAGTACTTTTAAATATTTGAAATTAAAATAACAAACAGTTTTGAGGTTTAGAATTATTTTACTGTGTAATGGGTGAGCTTGATTTCTGGTCCTTTTTATCCATATCCTATAGCCAGGTACCATTGTTTGTCCAAATACATCACAAATGGCGAAGGATGTACATGGGAGAATGTCAGGGTCCTGGTGTTCGAACTGACTTTGAAATGGTTCATCTTCGGAAAGTGCCAAATCAGTACACTCATTTGTCGGGCCTGCTGGACATCTTCAAATCAAAGATTGTGAGTTGGCATTGATATTGTCAGTCTTATTTGGGATCCAGATAAAAGAAGCAGTTTAGTAATTTGAGCATATAGACATATTCTTCTAATATTAATACTATAAGTACAAGAAAACTAATAGATTATATGTTGCTATGTACACTTAAAGAAGATACCTAATAAAGAACTTACATATTTTTTTTTGTTAGTATTCACTGATTCTGTTCTTCTATAAGAATGATTTTGATGGTCCACCAGTTTAGTAGGCTTCAGGTAGCTGGTTGTTTTATGCATTGACTTTGAGCAGCTTGAGTTCTAAACCTGTTAGATTCTGAACTGCCCTTTTCTGTTTTTTCAAAAGAAACATTTTTGATCTTTAGGTCTAATACATAAACTGTGGCTGAGAGCTGTAGGGCTAATGAAGTATTCCAAATGTATCTGTGATAGTCTATAAAAACGCTGGCCAACAAGAGGCTTAGCTGGTAAGGTGCTTGCTGCCAGGCATGACTCTCTGAGTTTGAGCCTCAGGACCTATCGAGTAGAAGAAGAAGAAGAAGAAGAAAAGCCATCATCTGACTCTTACAAGTGCATAGTGGCACACTGCGCACCTTTTCTCCAGTGAATAAATAGACTGGGTAGGAGTGTTTTTGCCTGCACGTGTGTCTGTGCACATGTGTGCACCTGACTCCTGAGAGGACAGAGTGAGCACTGGCGTTACAGATGGTTGTGAGCCACCGTGCATGTCCGAGGAACTAAATAGGAGTCTTGTGCAAGAGGAGTGCCAGAGCCCGCCAGCAGAGTCGAACGGTTCTTGAATTGGGAGTGAGGATTAAAACTAATGAGCTAACACACAACACACATGGGACTTTCTGAGAGGCTCGAGAGATTAGACTCCACCAGCCAGCAGCAGCCTGACTTTATTGCAGAGAGTTTTTAAGCCAGAGCAAAAACAGCTCAGAACAAAGGGTTAAATTCACAAGGAGGTGAAGCAAGAGGTGTGATCCTCACAAGCTGTCCCACCTGCTGTCACAAACTAAAGGAGATGGACTTGCAAATTCTTCCCAGGCCTGGTAAAAGCAGTCTTTCCGCTGAGATTTCAATAGCAAAGCAGCTGCCAGAGCACCTGCTCCTCACAGGAGCAAGTGCTTTAACTGCTGAGCCATCTCTCCAACATCAGAGGCTGGTGGTATTATTATCATTATCATTATCATTATTATTATTATTATTATTATTATTATTATTATTATTATTATTATTTAAGTAAAAAGCAAATATTGTCATTGCGATGGTAGCCTTGCCTAACCTACTCTTGGGAAGAAGAATGTGAGAGCTGAAGTTGACATTACTTATATAAGTACCAAAATATTACACTGATTTGCCAGGCCTGTTAAACATATTCAGATCAAAGATTATGAATTGGCATTGGTATTTATTGTCAGTCTTATTTGGGATCCACATAAAATCAGTAATTTGGTAATCTGAGCATATAGAAATGTTCCTCTAATATCAATAATATAATGATTATAATCAAACTTGGTCAGCATAGATAAATAAAACTTATTATTTTATATATTGGTTAAAAAATTAATTGAAGGGTTGGAGAAAAGGCTCAGCAGTTCTTCCAGAGGATCTGGGTTCCATTCCAGCACCCATATGGTAGCTCACAGCCTTTTAAACTCTCGATTCAGGGGTTCCAGTGACCTCTTCTGACCTCTGAGGGCCCCAGACATGCATACGGTGCATAGACACACATTCAACAGAACCTCATAAACCTAAAATATAAAAATAAAAGAAAAATTAATTGAAGAGAAGAAACAACCAACTGACAGGACATGGCTCCTGGTGTAATCCACTGAGGAAGACAGACTTCTGAGTAATGTCTCTGTTAGAATATTTAACATTATTATTATATGTGTAAAAGCAATCATTTATTTCCAAAGTTGAATCTTCTTACAAAGTAATTGGTCTGGACTCTTGAAATAAAGGCTGGTGCTACTTAGATTAAGGAAGATAAATGAGACATGACTGCTAAGTGCAGTAAATAGTTTTTACTTGGTCAAAACAAAAAAGATCTGATTTGGGATTTGGGAGGTAGTTTTAATATGTACTGAGTATTGGAAAATAGTGTTAATGTTAAACTTCTTGTGGTAATCATTACAGCTGCTTAAGAAAACATCTTTATTTTTAAAAACCGCTGAAGTACTGAGAAGTAAATTGCCTTGATGATTACAACTTGTCAAAGGTCCAGCGAAAACAACAATAAAACAACACATGTAGTGGGGAGGGTTCCATGCCACTGATCTTGTTTAATGTCCTATGAGTGTCGATTATATTCATTTACCAACTTTTTTTTGAAGGTTTTACCATTTTAAAAAGGAAAAGTATGAGAAAAATACTTGAATTTCTCTTTTTAATAGGTATTGTTTATTAGGATTAGAACTTGATTACGAAAACATGGGACCAGAGATTTGGCTTAGTAGTAGAAAGCTTGCCCAGCATTTATGCGATTGTTGGTTTCATCCCCAGCACTAGAAAGGAAGGTAGGCATGAGCCCTTTCCTTCTGTGGTGGTTTGAATGAGAATAGCCCCATAGGCTCATATGTTTGAATGTTTGATCCTCAGTTAATGCAGCTATGTGAGAACTCGGAGGTGTGACTTTGTTGGAGGAGGTGTGTCAAAGAGGGGGGCTTTGAAGTTTTAAAAGCCCATGCCAGGCCAAGTGTCTTTCTCTTTGCCAGCTGCCTGTGGATCAGGATGGAAATCTCTCAGCACCATGCCAGTTAGCCTTTCTGCCTGCTACTCTGCCTCCTGCCATGATGTTCATGGATTAACCCTCTGAAACTTGAAGCAAGCCTCAATTACTTGCCTTCCTTTATAAGTTGTCTTAGTCATGGTGTTTCTTTACAGCAATAGAACAGTAACTTAGATATATCCCCAGTACTATGAGGAAGTACTGGAAGGAAGGAGGGAGCGTGGAAGGAGGCAGGCTGCCTGGCCAGCCATACACATAAATCCATTTCAAATACCAGGATAGGGAATTTAAAGCTAAGTCTTCTTTTATCATTTATTCTTTCTTAACATAATTTCTTGTGATTGTCTTAATTAAAAATAGTCTTGGAAGCATTTCATGTATGGAATAATTTTCTCAAGTATTCTGGGCTCTGAAATCCATACTTTCTGTGTATAATATTGTGGGACTTTTGAACAAGCCAAGTGTGTGTTGATTCTTGTTTATTTCTTCTTTGTCATCAGAAGTGTTTAATTAGCGTTTGATAAAATTTCTGGTCTGATGCAAATATCGATACCTTATTCTTTTTTTTTTTAATGAGCAGAAGTACTTTTTATTTTTTGTAACTAATACTAAGGTTTTTATTGTAAAAAAAAAAACAAACCTTCAAATATAAACAACTTTGCCCCTTTTAAGAATATTAATGAACATTTCAGACCTTTTTGTCTTTCTTCTATGTAGTTCAACTTCTCTTTTTGGAAACTTAGGTTTTAAAGAGAATGTCTTGATGTGTGAAACCTAACTTAAATTTTGGCTGTCAGTAGTTGGACTTTTAAGTGAAAAGTATCTTAGTTTACCATGTTACCTGTCAGTCTTTCAAAATTTTACAGAACTCTTCATAGTAAGCTTCTCTCAAAATTGATCTGAGAAAATCAAACTTAAGATAGTTGAGACTTAGTTTGGGTACTATAAAGTTTTCTGCATAGTTAAAGCTATCCACTATCTCTATAAAATTATCCTTTAAATGTCACATGTTGGTAGGTCATAAGAGAGAGTTCTTAGGAAAGAATTCCTGTTGATGGGCCCAGTTTGCCATTTGGTGTCACATAAAGAACAAGTTTAAGTCTCTTCTGCCACACTTCTAAATATTTGAAAACTTCCTCAGAACTTTCCTTTTCAACTTTAATGTTCTTAGTTTTGTTTGGAGGCCAGAGAGATCGATGGCCCTGAGGTTAAGAGTACTGGGTGCTCTCAGAAGATCTGGGTCCTATTCCCAGCACCTACAAATTGAGTTTTATTTTGAAATTTTAACTTTTTTAGCCAATTTATGTATTGGTTTTTTACAAATTTATTGTTGCTGCCTATAGAGCATTTTAGAACCAGGCCTTAAAGTAGTGTTTGGAGCTTCTTGCTCTGGTGATATTGGAAGTATTATATATATAATCTTGGAATTTGAGTTTCTTTGCTCAAGCTGTGAGAATGACAGATTTCTCCTCACAGAATTATTTTTCAGGCATATGGCTTTAAATAAAACCTGGGTTCTATATAGGTCTGATTTCTGTGGAAAGGTGTGACGTGCACTTGAGTTTGTCTTTTTTCTTACATTTCTTTTACTTAGACATTTATTTTTGATTACATTAATTTTGTATGTACATTCACATACATATTATGGTACCTATGTGGAGGTCAGAGAGATAACTTGAGGGAGTTTCTTCTCTCCACTATGTTGTACCCAAGGATTGAACTCAGATCAGCAGGATTGGTGGCAAGTGCCTTTCTTTACCCACTGAGCCATCTTGCCTTGATCCTTCATTTAATGTCATCAATAATCTCATAGTTTTTGTTCTTTGTTCCCATTATCAGATCCAGTCATGTGCTTTGAGCCCCATGTAGCTCCTCAAGTTTTCTCAGAATGCCTTTTCTAGGATCTACAAACCTATCTGTGCCTTGTGTGACCCTGATTGTTTTCAGAAATCTCAGTGTACGTTTGTCTGTACTGCTTTGGGGACTGGGGCAGAGGTTATTTGTCACAGGGACCATCCTGTCACTTCTATGTCATTTGATACTGGGCCTAATCTTGCCTGCCCCTCTACCCTTTCCCCCAATGACCAATCAGAATCATACTGTACTTCCCTAAGATACAGTAGCCTAAGATATGGATTTGTTTTTCTTTAAACCCCTCTAGTACTTAGATTTTGAAATGAGTTTTTGTTTATCTAAAGTTCCTAGTAACATGTAAAAGGGCCGTTTCTGAGCTAAATGATTATATCTGTTTGCTACTCAGGGATAGTGTTCCGGGGTACAGTAGCAACCTGTGCTTTGGCACATTCCCCAGGTGACTCCTAAACCTGCGTTATCTCATTCTGCCTAAAGGAAGGAAGTCAGGCCCATAGACTTTTTATTTGCTAGGGAATTTACGGATAACTCAGTCTTTTGTTAACTATTTATTTAATATAATCTGTTGTATGAGTGACCATTGTTAAATACTGAAACCTGATTTTGATTTCCATTTTACTTAAAAGAAAGCCATCATTTACCTAAATGTATTGATAATACTTTAAAAAATATGCCACTCTTTTGTGACATTCAGTGTCTTGAAATGGATAGTGAAAAAAGTATATTTTAGGGACTAGAAAGGTGGTCCAGCTGCTAAGAGTACTGCCTTCCCTTCTAGAGGACCCGATTCCATTCCCAGCACAGATGCACGCACACACACGCACACACACGTTCGTGCACATTCACAAACTTACCACCTGTAACTACAGTTCCAGAGGCTCTGAGCCAGAAGTACGGCATGCACGTGGTTCACAGACATGAATGCATACAACACACATACACAAACATACAGTTGTGTTTTATAACAAGGTTGAGGATTACTTTCTTACTGGGAGTTAATATTTTCTTTTCTGATAGTAGTATAAGCACTTTATTTTAAAGTAATTTCTTCCCTGGCGTTGTTTTTAGACCTTCATGTTTGTTTCTTTGATTGTTGTCATGAGGTCTCCCTGTATTGTCCAGGCTGGCCAGTGCTGGAATGCCCTGGGACTGTAAGAACACAGCAGCCTAATTTTGTTTATCCTACATAGCATTTTCAGCAGATGAAAACATTTGTGGAAAAAGTATGCGGAAATTAAAGAGATTTCTTGCTGTACAAATACATAGTCAAATAGTAGTGATTCTTCATGGAGTTCACTTTTCCAGTTTTTAAAACAAGGCCTGACGTTTGCCAGTGCTGTCCTTTCTGTAGTCTCTTCCTCGTTTTTTTCTTTCCATGAAAAGTTTATTAGCTTCATCTGGATGTGGGGGCGCACACACGTGGGGAGTGTGTAAGCACAGCATTCAGGAGGCAGAGGCAGGAAGATCTCTGTGAGTTCAAGGCCAGCCTGCTCTACAAAGCGAATCTAGGACAGCCAGGGCTACAAAGAGAAGAAACCCTCTCTCACACACACACACACACACACACAAAAAAAAAACCAAAGAAAAAAGCTTATTAGCTTCAAAAGAATTAGTTTTCACTGTGGTGTGTGTTTTGTAATCATCTTTGCTGCTGCTCCCTCTTCCTTGTGCTCTCCTATACCAGTCCCCACTTTCCACCTTAATGTCACACAACGCTTGTTGCCCTCTCCCTTCCTCAACATCGCTTGGTCCCCTCTCACAGCTCCTATCTAGTTTCATAGGCTATACCATTTCTACAACCTTTTATTTACATGCATAGAAACACTGCAAGTTAAGACCGGCTCTTAAAGTCTTTCTGCCCTCTTCTGGAAGTTCTCTGAGCCTTACTGTAGGATTTGCGTTGTAGATGTATCAGTTGGATTGCAGTCTTTTCCCTTCCAGAAACTTTGTTTGTTTTTGAGGTAGGATGTCGCTCTGCAGCCTTGGCTGGCTTCAGACTTGCTCTGTAGATCAGTCAGACCTCAAACTCACAGAGATCTGTCTGCCCCTACCTCTCAAGTGCTAGGATTAAAGGCGTGCACCATGCTCAGCTAGTCTCTTCCTTCTTGATTTTCCAAGTTACGCACTGTCCGTTCAGTCTTATTTTTCTCCCATGGTTCGTCTCTGCGCACTGTTGTTTGATACTGTGAATTTATATTCTGGTTTCTTAAGGTTAGCATTCTAAGACTTCGAAATGTTGGTACTGAAGTTCTTAGAGCGCAGGCTAAAACATTGACATGGTGTTGTCTTTGCATGTGTTTCTAGGGCTGTCCTTTAACTCCATTGCCTCCAGTTAGCATCGCTATTCGATTCACATATGTGCTTCAGGATTGGCAGCAGTACTTTTGGCCTCAGCAGCCTCCAGGTGAGAACATTTGAAACTGTGTTTAACCTGTTAAATATAGATTGAAGAGAAAATGTATTAAGAAATTAAACTTAATATCCAACGGTGTTCTATACTAGAAATACCTGTACTCATTTTAAATGTAATTGCTGATTTTGTTTTCTATGTATTTTTTTTTTCCTGAAGAGAAGCTCTCATGTCTTTTAGAGACAGTGTTACTTTATACAGACAATCTGTCTGTGAAGGTTGATGTGATTTATAAAGCGTCCCCTGTGAAAGAACATTGTGTGCACGTAGTACCATATAGCAAATGATTAGAATACCCAGTTTAGAATGTTAGAGAAGCCACCTCATACGCTGAAAACAGCAATGTAGGAACCTTAAAGCAGCAGTTCTCAACATGTGGGTTGTGACCCCTTTAAGGCTGAATGGCCCTTTCTCAGGCTTTACCTAAGACCATTGGAAAACACAGATATTTATAATACAATTCATAACAGTAGCAAAATTACTGTTATGAAGTAGCAATGAAAATAATTTTATGAGAGCTGTGCATGGTGGTGTTCGCCTGTAATCCCAGCTCTCAGAGAGGCAGAGGCAGGTGGATCTCTGTGAGTTTGAAGCCAGCCTGGTCTACAGAGAAAGGTCAAAGACAGCCAAGGCTGCACTGAGAGACCCTATCTTGAAAAAAAAAATAATTTTATGGTTAAGGGTCACCACAGCATGAGGAACTGTATTAAAGAGTTGCAGTTTAGGAAGGCAGTGGCATTAGAGTACTGGGAAAAGAAAAATAAGTTTGTACATGCTCTTGTGGAAGAAAACTGTAAAATATTTAATATGGACTTAGTAAAATGTCACCAGAATTAGTTTCCTGCTTAGTCATTGATAGGTAATTAATTCAAGAGAGTCTATGCCAAGGACTCCGATATGAACAAGGCATCATGTAAGTTCTAGAAAAGCTCAGCTGGAGGACATAGAACCTAATTGAGGTTTTTGTTTGTTGTGTTTTGTTCCTGTGTACTTTGTTGGATATAATTCATTGTTCATAGAACTTGTTTTAAAAACCATTTATTTGACGTTGTGTGTATATGTATGGGTATGCATTTGCCATGGTGTATGACATCAGAGAAATCACAGGTCAGCTTGTGGGAGGGAGTTGGCTCTTCTCTAACATGGGTTCTGGGAATGGAACTCAGGTTGTTAGGCTTCGTGCCAGGCACCTTTACATGTTAAACTGTCTTGCCAGCCCCACAGCTTTCTTTTGTAATCCATTTTGTTTCTGAAATAATACCTGTACTTCCTTTAAATCTTTGTTTGGGTTCGGTTTTGTAGTCCTGACTGGGCTGGAGTTCACTATGTCAATCAGGCTGGCCTTGTCTCTGCCTCCAGTGTGCGAGTGTACAGGCATGTGCCACTATGCTTGACCTTTTTTTAAAAAATTCTTATGATCATTTATGCATTGTACAATGTGGTGTTTCATAAAGAAATGTTCATTTAAGTTACCAAGTATATGTATGTATGCTGCAAATGGGAGAAAACAATATTTGTCTCATTCCCTCACCAGATGCTTTCTCCCACCTTTACACCTTTTCATCCCCCACACAGTCCTGCATATGTATGTATACACACACACACACATATATACACATATGCATTTATGTCTATATACACACACACATATATATACACATACACATATAGGTATATGTATGTATATACCTGTACACTCCTAAATATAGATTTTTGTCTGAAATTCAATCTGATTTTGTTTAACATGATGATCCATTTTCCTGAAAATTACTTATTTTTTTTATGGTGCACTCAAACTCCACTGTGCATATATGTATCACATTTTCTTTATTCATCTGTTAATAGGCATCAAAGCTGGTTCCATATCTGAGTTGTTATGAATAGTGCAAGTATTTCTGTGGTTTGCTGACTTAGATTTGTAGTATAGTTGGATTATGTGGTAGTTTATTTTGACTTATTTACATTTATTTGTGTGTGCATGCATGTACGCCACATGAGTGGTGTGCATAGAGGTGGAGGTCAGAGGTTGACATTAGGTGTCTTCCTCTGTCATTATTCGTCTTATTTATTTATTAGTCCATTTATTTATTTATTGGGGTGTTACATGTTATTCATTACTTAGTAACAACTGTCAGGGTTGGATAGAACAAAAGGGCCTGCTAGTAAATATATCCTTCTGTGGGAAGGCTCAAACTTCCCAGAGTTCCTTGTCCCTCCTAACTTTAAGTACTTGATATGGGCTGTGAATGGGCATGAGAAGGCTGAGGCAGAGCAGATTGGTGGAGTTGACAAGAAGACAGAAGGCATTGATGGCTTTTATATTGGGCATGTAGGGTGTGTGAGAGGGTTCCCAGTAGACCCCAGGTAAGGCCAGAGGCTGTCTGGCATCTTGGCCTGACCTCAGCCCTTTTCTTTTGTATTCTTGGCTTTGTTCTTGCGAGTGCAGGGCTTGTTCATGCAGATGTCTGCTAGTACTGGGCATTGTATCAAGCCTTCTTCAGGGTACCTTGGTGGACTTGGTACCTGTGCTTCTGGCACATGACCCACAGCTCTCAAACTTGGATTGCAATCAGCTCCAAATTCCTTCTGCCAGTTGTAGGTGCCTGCATGGGTTCTTCTGGCTCCGGACTCTGCAGGTGCCCTCTGGGAAACCCACTCTGCAGCCCTCACTGTTGAGGCTGAATATCATGTACTCACTCTCCAGGCATCCCTTCTTCATCTTGTCTTTTTGAGGCATTTCTCAAACTGAACATGGAACTCATGATTTCAGTTAGACTGGCTGGTCAGCAAGCCTTCAGAATTTTTTCTGTCTTTACTTCCATTTGGGGTTACAAGTATTTGCCGTTGTACCCAGTTTTTACGACTATGTTGGAGATTCAAACTCATGTCCTTATGTGGGCCCAGCAAGCACTTTGCTTACTGAGCTATCATTCTAGCCATGCTCCAATTTTAAAGATAGGGTCTCCTGTAGGTTAGATCTATGAGTGTGTTTATATTTCATAAACATTTAGTAAGAAATGAAATATAGACTTATCTTATCCCCTCCCCCTTTTATTTGAGACAGGGTCTTGCTGTGAATTTCTGGTTGCCAGGTATGGACTTTGTAGCCCATGCTGGCACTGAACTTATGGCAATCTGCCTCCAGCCTCAGCCTCCCAAATGCTGAGATTTAGATATGAACCACTACATCCATGTAGCAATAGCCTTCTAGTTTAAAAACATTTTTTAGTGTACTACCACCTCCAAGAAAACCAAAATAATAATTTTCACGCTTTATTTTGTTCCAGCTGTTTGGCTGTAAGGTTCGGAATAACGGCTAGGTTAGAAATAATACCGAAATTACTACTGTACATAGTCAGCTTTTGGCAGTTATGTATACCACTACTGTTCTTGTACTCTTGAGAAACTTAGAATGCTAACGCACAGCAAAAGAGCTGCCTCTAAACAACAGCTGAGGGGAGTTAAGAGCTAAGCTTTTGGTTTCCAGACAGCAGCACCACTTAGATGGCTTATAATCTGCTTCCACTGACAAGTTTTCATTCTTTTTTTTTCTTTCCCAAGGTAGAGCCTTGTTGTGAATCCCAGTGACATATAGTTAGCATTTGTGAGGCCTTGGATTTAATCCTAATTACCTAGTTCTAGGGTGGTGTGGTCACTAATGAGTTTAAGAAGCCAAAGGCCAAACTCCTACAGTGTAATTCTCATTGCAGTAAGGTGTTTGATGATGTTCTGTTGCCAGCTTTAAGAGGGAAGGGCCAGCAAGAATTATGAACCAGACACTCTGCTTGGCATTTTATATTTTAATGCTGCTTAATTCTTTAAGGATTTGTTTGTTGGTGTGCTTTATGTCTATGGGTACTCTGTCTGCATGTCCATCTGTGTCAGATGGTTGTGAACTGCCATTTGTCAGCACTGTGGGAAAAGCAGTGAGTGCTCTTGACCACTGGGTCACCTCTCCAGCCCAGCTTAATTTTGTTTAATTTTCATAACATAGGAACATTGTTATGTTTCTTTTAAAAAATGGAAGACTTAGGAAGGCTTATGTTACATAGTTACCCAGTTGATCAAGTTTGCCTTCATATCAAACTTCAGTTTCCTGGTTATTTTCATCCCATAGTGTTACTTATCAACCTGTAATTTAATTAAAATTTTCGTACTATCAATTTTTGATAATTATCTTTAAGCATTAATTTGTGAGCATGCTTATGAAGTTTGAAGCTCCTAAAAGTACATATTTTGTAGTGTAAAATTAATCACATGATCTTTATTTTTGTAAACATTTTAAATTGGAAAAATGGAATGAATTGGTTGAAGTATTGAGCAATTAGCCATATTTAATGACTATTTTTAGTAATTTATTTACAGCATAGGTTTTCAAGTGTTTATTTAAACAAATCTGGGTGGTGTTTATAAGTCAACAATAAACTTTAAATTTATGAATTTCTAGTATAATATTAATAATTAAATACCACCATATATATTATTTCAGAGAGATAAATCCTTTTTATGTCCTAGAAGTATTTATTAGTTTCTTATTGAATGGTAATTAATATTTAATATTGATTTATATTTTAGTAAAGCAGCGGTTACTCCTTAACTAGCTATCTACCCAAATAACCACACAGAAGGACTAGGATTTATTTAATTAGCCTAAAACAATGCTGCACAACAATTATTCTATCCTAAACCTCCAAGCTAGTATAGCTTCCTCCCATTTAGATTTCCCACATTATACTTGGTTTTCAATTGTATCCTAGGTCTGGTTCATTTCTCCTGATGTTCCCCTGTCCTCTCCTCATGAAGCAGTCCTTTCTTCATAGTTTTTTTTCCTTCCCTCATTGGACCAGGATGTCTCAACCCTAGACTCTGTATTGCTCAGCATTGGCTAACTGGCTTTTATTGGCAATACAGAGAACAAATGGTGTCATGTTACACAAACTTGAGACAAGAGATGCTTAGAGTAAACATCAGAATACAATAGCTGGGGTAGAGAAATCAGCATTTGAATGAACAAGGGTAAACTGTACATAAAATCCACAAGTTGTACCAACAGTTTCTCAAAAAGGATAAAACTAGAGGTTCAGTGATACTTTCTCTGCTTTCCTACAGTGGAGAGACTATTCATACTATAAAAGCGGTTCTTTCATGAATTTTAATATTTCATCCATGGTCAACAGAAAATTTTACTAATGGTGACAAATCTGATAATTTGTTAATCAGAAAATTTTGACAACAAAACTGATGAATGTAGGTTGGTGATTAAATATTTTAGTACCTAGATAATCTTTTCTTTTTAGATTTTATTAATCATATTCTTAGAAAATGGAAAGAAGTACAGTAATTTTACTTTCTCGAGTAGTTGCTGAAAAATATTTCATAAGAGTGAAATTTAGGATGGACGGCTATATTTGAAACAGTGGGTAATCAGAAATGTGGCTCTGTACTTACACTCTTATGCTTGCCTGCATATGCCGGTTCATGCTTAACTTGCTGTCTGCATTGTCACAGGCACCTCAAAGCTATTACCTTCTGAAGGATTTAACTTGACTAGAACCCCCAGGCTAGGTCTTACTATACAATTACAGCTAGCTTGGAATTCATTGTGTAGAGCTTATTTCTCCTTTTTTTTTTTTTTTTTTTTGCCAAATAAAAGAACACATTTTCCCCTTGTTTAGATATAGATGCCCTTGTGGGAGGAGAAGTTGGAGGCCTGGAGTTCGGCAAGTTGCCTTTTGGTGCCTGTGAAGATCCTATCTGGTGAGAATTTCAGGCTGTCACTTGAATTACAGGATTATTTTGCTTTTAAAGTTTATATTGATGTTCATTTTATGACACTGTAGGTTGCTGAAGTAATGCTGGAAACAGCTATACTTGCTCTCTTTAGACTTCTCATGGGAGGCTCCCAAATTAATACTCTCCCTAAGCTTTGGCAGACTGTGGACCTGGGGTGTAGCTTAGGAGAGTGCTGCATAGCATGCATAAGCCCTGGGTTCAGTACTGTGGCTTGTGGGCAGATCTAGTACCTGTGGCTTATAATAGTTTTTATATTTTTAAAAGCATGTAGTTTTAAAAAGCATGCTTTTTTTGTTTTCCTCCCCTCATTGGACCAGGATGTCTCAACCCTAGTCTCTGTATTGCTCAGCATTGGCTAACTGGCTTTTACACAGATAACAGACTGTGCATGGCTCACAAAGCCACATGTATGCTCTTTGTCTAGCTCATTATCGCTATAACATGATTTTTTTGTTTGTTTGTTTCAAAGCTGAGAAAATTCATCTACTATGAAGTTCACCACTTCAAAGTGTAGTTTGGTGGTTTTTATTACAGATTTATGCAGATATCATCATTATTATCTAAAACATTTAAAATACATCAGAGAGAAGCTGTTCCTTTAAATTTTGTGTTATTTGTGTGTGACTGTTCATGTCTTTTAAACTCTGAATTCTGTGATAATGTTCATGATTGTTCTTTTAAATTCTGTGTTCTGGGGCTTACCTAATTTTCCTTAGGAAACATTTCTGTTGGACTAGTGGGTTTCCTGGGAAACATGCTGTGTTGGCATTCATTTTGTTTTTAATTTTGTGATGAAACTTGGGCTGGTGGACTTCTTTCTTGGTTGTGTGTCTGATGTGGTCTACTTTAGACTGGGCCAGTGCATAAGCTACGTGACTGGAGTGAGGTGGGTAGAGCACAAACTGTTTAATTGGACCAGGTAAAGGTGGCTCCTGAACCATGGTTTTGGGGCTAGGTCTGTGGGTATGAAGGGAAGGACAGGATGGGAGAGTGTAGGAGTAACTCACCAAGCAAAAGTAGCTCTCAGATGAAGCAGGCTCTAGGGCCTTGGGTTTGGTGCTTGTTCTGGGTGTTGAGATGGCAGCAGGTGGAGGGAAGAGGAGGAAAGAAAAAAGCCAGTTAGCCTGCCATGGCTGGGGTCAAGTAAGGAGGTAGGTTTGGGTGTGGAGATGGGGAGGGGTATTGGGACTCATCTGTGTTACAGCATGGAACAGTTATTTACAAAGGAAATCCTTCCTAATATGCCATTATGTGGATACGCTTTTTGCTTAGTGTAGATCACATTTTGTTTATCCATTCAGTTAAGGGACATTTTCCTTATGTTTTGTTTGCTATATAATATAACACTTCATATCCATAAGACAACTTCATGTGCCTATGCTTTCCTTTCTTAAATTAGTTGTTTTCAGTTTGTTATACATAAATGTTCTCTTTAGAGTTTTTATTAGCAATATATTGATTATACATAACAGGTTTCATAGATTTATTCATGATGATTCTTTTTCCCTTCCTAGTTTGTACCTGTAAATTAGTTAGGTTTTCTAGTGCTGTGAAGAGACGCCATGATCATGGCAATTCTTATAAGGGTTTACAGTTCAGAGGTTTAGTTCATTATCGTCATGGTGGCATGCACAGTAGCATACAGCAGACATGGTGCTGGGAAGGTAGCTGAGAGACCTGGATCAGTAGGCAATAGGAAAAGAGACTGACACTGGGCCTTGTTTGAGCACCTGAAATCTCAAAGCCCACCCCTAGTGATACATTTCTTCCAGCAAGGCCACAGTAGTGTCACCCTTCATGGGCCTATGAGAGCCAATTTCATTCAGTCCACCACAGTACCTCTTCTACTTTCATTACTTTTTTCTTGCCTTTTCTTTTGGTGACTCTGAGTTAGTTACAGGAGCACAGGTATGAGTGAAGGACTGTTTACAAGAGTATGAGTAACTCACCAGAGGCTACACCAGTGAAGGAAATGTCTTCCTCCCTTAGCAACCATTACATACACCACTTCCCATACAACTTTAGTTGTTTCCCAGGACACATTTTAGAAATAGAAATACTGGGTCAGAGTACATACGTAAAGACTTAAACCTTTTAGATGAATTTTATGTTTTAAATTTTTTTTTCTTTAATTTTAGTGAACTCCATTTAGCAACAACATGGCCTAATCTGACAGAAGGGATCATTGTGGACAATGATGTTTATTCGTAAGTATGTTATGAACTTCATTCCAATAAATTAACCACCAAGTGCTTACTACAGAATTTTTTTGAAAGATCATATTTTAATTTATTTTTTATTTATTACAATTTATTCACTTTGTATCCCAGCTGTAACCCTCTCCCAAGTCCCCTCCCAAACCCACCCTCCCTCCCTCTTCTCCTCCCATGACCCTCCCCTAGTCCACTAGTCGGTGAGATCCTCCTCCCCTTCCATCTGACCCTAACCTATCAGGTCTCATCAGGAATGACTGCATTGTCTTCCTCTGTGGCTTGGTGAGGCTGCTCCCCACTCAAGGGAAGGTGATCAAAGGGCCAGCCACTGAATTCATGTCAGAGACAGCCCCTGTTTCCCTTACTTGGGGACCCACTTGGACACTGAGCTGCCATAGACTACATCTGTGCAGGGGTTCTAGGTTATCTCCATGCATGGTCCTTGGTTGGAGTATCAGTCTCAGAAAAGATCCCTGTGTCCAGATTATTGGGTCCTGTTGCTCTCCTTGTGGAGCTCCTGTCCCCTCCTGGTCTTCCTATCCCAGCACATGAAGAATAAATCAAGAGTTGGAAGATAGTTTGTCTCCAAAAGATAAGGGAGGGGATGAAAAATGAACTGTTTCCCCTTATGGAATATTTCCCCCTATAGAATGTTAAGTGAAATGCATTTTCTACAATATTTTATTTTGCTCTTTTTAAAATTTTTAGACAGGATTTCAATATGTAGCCCTGTCTGGCCTCCTACTGGTAAACCTCCTGCCACAGCCTCCCAGGTTCTGCAGTTCCAGGTGTGTCCACCTGACCCATCTTTGATTCCATTGCATGGCTGACCTGCACTGGAATGGAATCATAATTACTGTCTTATTCTGTTCTAGTGACTTGGATCCTGTTCAAGCTCCCCATTGGTCTGTTAGAGTTCGAAAAGCTGAAAATCCCCAGTGTTTACTAGGTAAGGTACACTGTGTTCCTTTTCTGAAATGTTACATACCTATTTTCCAAATTGGAATCCTGAATGCATTCTTTGTACTTTACCTATTCAAAATATTGCTTTACATTTTTATTATCTCCTCAGTTAACATGTCATAGAAAAGTTCTTTACTAATCACAGTGAATCTTTTATTAACAGCAATAGCAGGATTTCTTTTATTTTAATTTTTTTATATTTATTACAGTTTATTCACTTTGTATCCCAGCTGTAGCCCCCTCCCTCATTCCCTCCTAATCCCACCTTCCCTCCCTCTTCTCCTCCCCTGCCCCTCTCCAAGTCTACTGATAGGGAAGGTCCTCCTCCCCTTCCATCTGACCCTAGCCTATCAGGTCTCATCAGGAGTGGCTGCATTGTTTCCTCTGTGGAGGATTTCTTTTTTTCTTTGTTTTTCTTTCCTTCCTTCCTTCCTCCCTCCCTCCCTCCCTCCCTCCCTCCCTCCCTCCTACATCTTATTTTGTTTTTCTTATGTTACTGTGTCACCTTTTCTGGCACAGTTGAGCCCTCTGTCTTAGTTAAGGTTTCTATTGTTGCAATGAAATATGATGACCAGAAAGCAAGGGGAAGAAGGGTTTATTTGGCTTATTCTCCCACATTGGTGTTCATCTTCAAAGGATGTCAAACAGGACAGGAACCTGGAGGCAGATGCAGAGGCCGCAGAGGGGTGCTGCTTACTGGCTTGCTCCCCATGATTTGCTCAGCCTGCTTTCTTACAGAACCCAGGACCACCAGCCCAGGGATGGCACCACCCACAGTGGGGTGGACCTTCCCCTGTTGATGACTAGTTGAGAAACTGCCTTTTAGCTGGATGTTATGGGGCATTTTCTTAACTGAGGATCCTTCCTCTCTGATGACTCCAGGTTATGTCAGGCTGACACAACACCAGCCAGTGCACGCTCTTTTTCTTTTGATGGCCCTCTGTGCCTGTGATGTGATGGCACAGGAGCACTGACTTAGTATGACTGGAGTAGGGCTGCTTAAACTCTTTCCTCTTGTGATCCTTTCTCACCGAGGCATCTTTATAGAATACTAGGTATCTATAAAATAGGTATGCAGATCCAATGTGCCGATAAGTTTACTCTACAATGATTCTTCGGTATGTGTGTATATATATGTGTGTACTACATATGTATGGTTTTACTGTTTATTAGAGGTAAAACAAATTTGTGTACTGAGATAGGTATACTTTAATTTCACATAAAGAATTAAATCTTAGCATTTTCAACATTTTCAGAGTTGACTTTATAGGTCTGTAATTGTCATTTTTGAAAATGCTTCTTTGCATAAACATGTACTGTAAAGTGGCAGGATTATATGTAGGGTCGTCTCAGAAATTGTTGGAAATTCAGTTTTAATAGGATATGTAAGTCAGCAACTGAGCAGTTTTTAAAAGTAAACATTCTACTACTGTAGTCCAGGGATACTCTTACTCTATCTTTACATGCTGAGGAATAATGATAAGAAAATACTCTTTTTTTCAGCAGTTATGTCATCATCTTGATACAAAGGCAGAAATCTTTATATGAGTAAAAATGCTGCACTGTGTAACATGGAATGCCTGATCTATGTCAGAAGCAGCGTTAGTTGCGTTGTGTGGAGTCACAGCATCTGCTGCAGAGTGCATGCTGGGTGTTCATTTCTGTGCAGCATGCGTGTGCACTGCCAGAAACATCTTATGCTTATTACATGTTTGATTTTGAGTTAAGTTTTGATTGTTCCACATTTGGAAGTTTTTTACTGTTTCGTTTTTGTTTTGTTTTGTTTGTATGTAGAAATCATTCAATTATGTGGCCACAGTTTAGGAATCTGGACATTAAAATTTTTCTTCCAAGTTATACCGTATCTGAAAACCTATTCTGTGGAGAATGGTTGTATAAATACACTTTTGTTCATCTAGCAGATTATTTGAAGATTAAGTGAAATAGGATATAAATTTAAAAAGTACCTTGAAAAATAGTAATTGCTATTCAGAATCTATGTCTGGAATTATTTCTGTTTTTTTTTTTTTTAATCTTTTTCTCCAAGATAGGATCTCTCTGTATTCCTGGCTAGCCTGGAATTCACTTTGTAGACCAGGCTCTGGCTGGCGTTGAACTCACAAAGATCTACCTCTGCATTTTGGGTGCTAAGATTAAAGACATTTGGTTCTCTTCCCTTTTTTTTTTTTTTAAAGGTTTAGCTCTGTAGGTATTCTGAAACCCACAGCCTTTCTTTATTTGCCCTCTTACTTTTAGTACATATGAAAATATTTTCTCCATTTCTTCTATTCAGTCATGCCTACCTTTACTCTGTACCACCTGACCTTATATTCAACTGATGTTTATTAAAATACTACTTACTAATGACACTGATGTTTCTTTAAAGTATTCTTTTGGTTTTGTTTTTAAATATAACATTTTGTCATTCTTTCTAAGTTTCATCATTTATTTATTTTTTTTTTAAGCTCTTAATCATTCATTATGGGCTGTTCATCAAATGCCAGTTAGCACTTGGCACTCATGGTCCCTGATAGTGGAGAAAATATTCTGCCTTTGTTGAGTCTGTGCGGGGTCTTAGAGAGACAGCATTGTCCATAGTGAGTGTTGAGCACATCCGCATGCTAAGCTCCTGGAGTGAGCAGCCTCATCAGATAAGCTGGTAGTCGTGGGATGTTAGAGTAATGAAGCAAAGTGACAGTCTGTGCGCATGTCGCACTTAGCCACTGGCCTGTTCTGTAGAAGCTGCAGTGTCTGTAGTATAGAATAACTGATGTGTTACATGAGCAGATCTGCCTACTAGAGGACTTCCCAATGCCTTCTTCTTCATCTGTAATAACTACGGAAGACCTGAGAAACGCTCTAATTTTAAATTACTTTCTCATGATTTCACCCTACCTCTTCATAGTTTTTAATGACAAAATTATTAGAATTTTCTACATTTCTGAAAAAATAATCAAGAAATATTGCTTAATTCTAACTTAAATGTACACTTTGTATTGTATTTCAATACTGAAAATTCTTGTTAAACTTTAATTTACTGGTGCAAACATAACCTTTTTTTTTTTTTTTTTGAGTCAGTGTCTTATATAGTTCAGGCTGGTCTTCAACATACTATGTAGGGTGAGGATGACCTTGAACTCCCCATCTTACCTCTCAAGTGCTGATACTACAGGGATGCATTGCCATACATGATTGTAGTTGAACGGAGTTGAGAGAGGGAAGACAGCTAGCTCCACCCACCCCAGTGAAAAGCTTTGTGGAAGAGATAGTCATGATTCCATGTATAGCTTCCTGGAATCTCAGTATTTGGGAGGCTAAAGCAGGAAGTTAGCAAGTTCATGGGCAGCCTGCTATATAGATATATATATATTTTTTTTTTAATTGAAAAATTTTATTATGCTTACTTATTTGGGAGAGATGTGTCATTCATATACCATAGCTTGTGTGGAGATAGAGGACAACTTAAGGGAACTTAAGGGTTCTTTCCACATGTGGTTCTGAGAGATCGGCCCACTGAGCCATCTCGCCAACCCCAAACAATTCTGCAGCTCTTGAAAACATAGGAAATAATTTTTGTCTTTATAATGACACAAAGTATGTTAGTATGCAACCAAAGATGTAATAGCTTCACATTACATGTTTCTTGATACTCTAGAAACATCTTTATGGCTTATTTTTAATGTTTTTAATTGTTTCAGAATTATTATAGGATAACAGGGAATAATATTGTTTCTTTTATGATTTAATGATAATGAACATTGGTAACCTTGAAACCTGCAGAAAGAGCTTAATATTATGAAGTACATTCTTGTTTCCTTTTGTTCTAGAAGAACTTTTTGTTTTAGAAATAGGAATATTGAAAGAGAAAGCACTTTTGAGACTGGGAGTAGGCTAGGGAGCTCAGGAGAAAGAATGCATCCCAAACAGAGAGGTCCTGAGGAGACTCTTCTCTGTCTCCAGATTGAAAAAAAGAACAAGTTTACTTCTGAAATCAGGTCAATTTTTATCTTCCTCAGAGAAAAACTGAATTTTTTCCTCCACCTGCCTGAATTTTTCCCCAGGCTGGCCTTAATTTCAGAGATCTGGCTCTCTCCTTTCTGAGTGCTGGGATTAAAGGCATATGCCACTGCCTCCCGGCTTTCCAACCCTATTGTTTAAGTGCTTGCTTGTTTTTGTTTTGAGACAGGGTTTCTCTGTAGTCTTGGCCATCCTGGAAACCACTCAGTAGATCAGGCTGGCCGTGAGCTCCGAGTGCTGGGGTGTGCCCCACCACCAGGCTCCCAAGTCCTATCTCAGCTTATAGCTTTTGTTAAGAGATGTGTACTTTTGGTAGACTGATTTCTTGTATTTAAATGTCAAAAATGAGTATTTTTTTTTTTTAGGTGATTTTATTACTGAGTTTTTAAAAATTTGCCGTCGAAAGGAATCAACTGATGAAATTCTTGGACGATCTACATTTGAGGAAGAAGGAAGAGGTGACCTACTTTTCCTATTTTTACATTCTTTCCAAAGCCTTGCCCTTGCTCATTGGCATATAAAAAGTGAAACTTTTTATCACTTTGAATTAAGTTGGAGAAGCAAGTGTAGTTACTCTGTACAGCTTGCTGCCTTTCTATGCTGTACCCAAAACTTAAGACAGAAAATTCATTTAATAATTCTTCCCAGGGAAAAAAAATAGTAATAAGGTATTTTGAAAGTAGTTTTAGATATTCATATTTGAAGTCTCCAGAGAAAAAAATAATTTGTGATGTCTCTGATAACCATGCTTTCATGTAATGCTGAACCTGTGAGTCAGAACTTTATAATTTTATAATTCTGAGAGCATTTATTACTTGTGTAAAGAATTCAAACATGTATATGTCACCAGTTTCCTGATCACTTCCTGCCCCTATATAATTTACACTAATTTCTACATTATAGAAGTTGCTGATATAACTCATGCTCTGTCAAAGCTTACTGAACCAGCACCAGTTCCAATTCATAAATTATCAGTTTCTAATATGGTCCACACTGCAAAGAAGAAAATACGGAAACACAGAGGAGAAGAGTCACCACTGAACAACGATGTTCTCAATACCATTCTTTTGGTAAGCAGCTGCCTTGCTTTTGTGTGTCTGCATAAGCACATGCTTGTTACAGACTCCATGCCTCCCTAGGGCAGGCAAGCACTGGATTGGGAGCCTGAGGGTACACGTTCCACATTCAGAGACTGTAATTAGTTAGTGGGAAGAAGAGCAGTAGAGTCCTAGATTGCAAGTGAAAAACGGGACATGGAGGCAGTGAGAAGGAAGCAGAGTGTTTGTGCATGATGTATGTGGCTGTGTGTGAGTGGCTGTGTGTGAGTGGCTGTGTGTGAGTGGCTGTGTGTGAGTGGCTGTGTGTGAGTGGCTGTGTGTGAGTGGCTGTGTGGTGGTTTTTGGGCAGTATGGGGCTGGGCCCATGTGTGAGTATGTGTGCTAACTGGCACAGTGGAAGTGAAGATGCTTCCTAAAAAGAGTGCTGGGACCTAATAAGTCAAGAGGCACAGGACTGAGAGCCGAGGTTCTGCTCTGTAGTGCTGGCCTTCAAGCCCAGGGTCTTGTCCGCGGCTGAGTGCATGTTGAAGAGTGGTGTCTTGGAGTGCTGGCTGCCCTGAGAGTGGTCAGGGTATGGATGGGCAGCTAGAAAACCGCCATGATGTAGCACTGCACTTTTGTCTTACAGAAGATGAACTTAGGATAGAAACTGAGCTTTAAAGTGTTCCTATGACAAGTCTGTACAGTAAGGACGAGAGGGGACAAAGCAGGGGCTTAAAATGGGTCCTGAGTAGAGTGTAGTTGGAGTGGCTGCACCCCGGGAGCCACACGGCAGGGTGAACGCTGACTTTCTGTAGGACACTGAACAAGTCGTTTTAGTTTTCTCATCTCGCTAATGAAGCTGATAGTCATGGTGGCTCACACCTTTAATCCCAGCACTTAAAAGGCAGAGGCAAGTGGATCTCTGAGAGTTCTGGCCTACCTAGAGTTCTAGAACAGTCAGAAATGCCTAATAGAGAAACCTTGTCTCAAAAAGAACAGGGCACAAATTAAGCTGGTAACACCGGGTGAGATTGTTGTGAAAGTAAAGGACCATGTGTGGTACCATGTGGACCATGTGGCATGTGTGGTAGGTCTTTATTAAATGATTGTAATTGTAGTTACAATATAGTTGTGAGGAAAACCCTTCAAAAATAGTGTAATAAAGGGAAGGGAATGCTGTATCTGGACCCAATGACCTTACATATTTCTCACCATTGTTCTGAATAAGACTCTTAGTCAGATCTTTAGCTGGTACATGATATACACAGGAAGGTGAGAACTGGATAGTGATTGTAGATGTGCCTGCTGCTGGCACTTAGTACTTCGTAGTAAAATTTTATAAGTCTGTTAAATATTGGTTAAAAAACTAAGAAATATGAGCTTGTTCTATAATACGTCCCAATGTAGACAGAGATTATTGGTTAGCAATATCAGGAACCAGTCTTCTCTGCAGAGAAGACTCCTTAAAAATGTATCCTTAGGGGGCTGGAGGGATGGCTCAGAGGTTAAGAGCACTGGATGCTCTTCTAGAGATCCTGAATTCAATTCTCAGCAACCACATGGTAGCTCACAACCATTTATAATGAGATCTGGTGACCCCTTCTGGTGTGCAGGCATACAAGCAGGCAGAACATTGTATACATAATAAATAAACCTTTAAAAAATGTATCCTTAGGACCTGGTAAGGTGGCATAGCCCTGCACTTAGAGGCTAAGGCAGGAAGATCATGAGTTCAAGTCCAGCCTGGACTTTATAGTGAAAACTTTACCGTCAAAAAGAGTAACCTTAAAGATTTTGAAAGTATAAATTACACAGTCAGTTAGTTGTCATCCACACTGAACCCCATCCTTTCTCTGTACACACACAGTGCTAACTTAGTGGACATAGATACATTGGCCATTGCAGGGGTAAAGTTCTTATCTCTAGGGGTGTCTTCATACTATGCCTTTATTTCATACATGGAAACCTGTGGATGCTCCTACCACAGATTCTCATAAATACAGAGGTGTTTTTAGATTGTCTGTTAGAGTTTTGACTGTATTTAAAGGCATTTACTTTTTCTTTTTTACACGAGATTTGATGAGTATTGAATGAATATGATGAGACTTTTGCTTCTGTGTTATCCAGCTCACAGAATCAAGTGGTTATTTGAATGAAAATTTTCTGAATTTCTGAAAATATTTTTTTATTTTTAAATAATTTTATATATTCACTTGTATCCCAGCTGTAGCCCACTCCCTCTTTCCTTCCCAATCCTCCCCACCCTCCCTCATCTCCTCCCTGCCCCCTTCCAAGTCCACTGAGAGGGGGTGTCCTCCTCTCCTTCCATCTGGCCCTAGCTTATCAGCTATCTTCAGGATGGTTGCAATGTCCTTATCTGTGGCCTAGCAAGGCTACTCCTCCCTCAGGGGCGGGGGGAGGGAGCTCAATGAGCCAGACATTGAGTTCATGTCAGAAACAATTCCTGTCCCCCTTACTAGGGAACCCACTTGGATACTGAGCTACAATGGGCTATGTCTGAGCAGGGGTTGTAGGTTATATCCATGCATGGTCCTTGGTTGGATAAACAGTCTCAGAGAAGACCCCCTGTACCTAGATATATTTGGACCTTGTGGGGCTCCTTGTCCCCTCTAGGTTATACTAATTCCTCCTCCCTTCATATGATTCCCTACACTCTGCTGAAGGCTTGGTTATAGGTCTCAGCATCTGCTTTGATACACTGCTAGATAGAGTCTTTCAGGTGCTTTCTGTGGTAGGCTATCTCAAGATCCAGCTATACCACTCCTAGGCATATATCAACAAGGACATTTGCTCAACCATGTTTGTAGCAGCTTTACTCATAATAGCCAGAACCTGGAAACAACCCAGGTGTCCATCAATGGAGGAATGGATAAAGAAATTGTGGTACTTTTACACAATGGAATACTACTCAACAATTAAAAACAAGGAAATCATGAATTTTGCAGGCAAATGGTGGGATCTAGAAAAAAACCATCCTGAGTGAGACATCCCAGGAGCAGAAAGAGACACACGGTATATATTTACTTATAAGTGGGTACTAGACCTATAAGATAGGATAAACATACTTAAATATGTACACCTAAAGATAAACAAGAAAGAGGACCAGGGGTAAGATGATCAGTTCTCATCTAGAAAGACAAATGGGATGGACATTGGAAATAGGAAAAAAATTTTTTTTAACTGGCAGAATATAGAATCAGCTGGACATCATAGTAAGAATATTCCCATAATTTAAACAGCAGATCCACTGGAAAGTTACAGTGTCTTCTATGGGATAAACATCAACAGAATAGCCCAATATGGTAGCTCACACGCTTAATCCCAGCACCTGGGAGGAGAGCCGGTGGTTCTCTGTGAGTGCTTTACCATCTGGGTCTACATATCAAGGCCCAAGGTAGCCAGAGCCATATATAGTAAGACCTGACTCTAAAAAGAAAAGGTAAAAAATTACCAGAGAAGGCAAGTCTAACATGTGACATCCCTCCCCCAGTTCTTATTTCCAGATGCTGCCTCTGAGAAGCCCTTAGATGCTGCTACTTCAACAGACAATAGCAGTCCTCCGTCAGAGGCTGGACTCTATGTAAGTTGCAGTTCAACATTAAAATACTGTAAGTGCACCTAATTTCTAGGGTTTTCTGACCTCCTAGCGGTAACTAAGAATTTCTTCATTGAAAAGCCATCTCGGGAAAGTATAATCCGCACAGCTGTTGGAGTCCTCTTATTTAGAGTTTTTGTCAAATCATTAAGTTCGTTTTACAGCAGATTCTGGTGGGTTAATTTTGATATAAATTCTTCTTACATACTTTTTGCTTAAGTATGCAGATTTGCTGTTAACAGGTTCTGCTTTTTCTTTTGTTAAATTTAGACTCTCTACAATCAGTTCAAGTCTGCACCCTCCGACAGTTTAACATACAAACTGGCCTTGTGTCTTTGTATGATCAACTTCTACCATGGAGGGCTGAAGGGAGTGGCACATCTTTGGCAGGAATTTGTTCTTGAAATGCGCTTCAGATGGGAAAACAACTTTCTGATTCCAGGGTAATAATTTTAACTTCCAGTTGTTTAGATAGGATTTCTTTTTTAAATCACCAAACATCTAACTTCTTAGGAATTCTTTTCTTAGAAAGTAGTATAAAATGTGCATCCAACTTGACTCAGGTGTTGATTGCAGTACGCTTCTAATAGGAGAAAAGGCCTGACAATCGATTTGTCAACAGAATCTGTATGTCAAGAAGAACAGTTGTGCTCTGTGTCTATGAAATATTCTTCTAGAATCTTACTGTTTTGTTGAAGGTGGTGTGTGGGATTGAACTGAGGGCTTCATACATGCTAGGCAAGTGCTCTACCACTGAGCTCCTTAGGACTTAGGCAACCCTAAAGAACCTTACCTAGAAACTCTATGTTGGGCATGCTGGCAAATCCCTTTATTCCCAGCACTCAGGAGGCAAGAGGCAGAGGCAGGCAGGTCTCTTGTGAGTTCAAGATCAGTGTGCTCTGCATAGCAAGGTCCAGGCCAGCCAGAGCGACATGGTTAAACCCTATCTCAACAAACAAACAAGATTAATTTACAAAAAATGTATTAGTAATTAGGTAATACACCACAGGATGTTTTCAGTTATGCGGGTATGTAGCTGTAGAATAAAGATTTGAGAGAAATACAGTCATGCTAATATTTTATTTTATTTATTTCTTCTTTATATTTCTTAAATCATCTGTACATATATTTTATTATTTAAAGTAACTCTTAAGTTCAGTCACTGACTTCATCTAGAATCTTTTTGTATTGACATTTCACTAATTGAATAGACTGTCTACTGAGCAGTCTATAGATACTATAGATACTACCTATGCCAATATCGATAGGTTAGTGCTTGTCTAACCCATGCTAAGGAGAGGATGATGTCAACAGTGGAAAGTGGCCACTAACTCAAAAGTGTTCTGTGTTAGGACGTTTGCCAGTCTTTGTTTATCAGGATTTTCCTGTAGCTGTTAGTGTTTTGCTCTGGAATTTAGCAGAATGGAGAAGTGGAGGAAGGTAGGATTTAGAACCACAGGAGTCCGGGATCTCACTGGCAAAGAGAGAGAGAGAGAGAGAGAGAGAGAGAGAGAGAGAGCTCGATCTTGGCTTGTGTAATGAGAATCCACCTGATAATTGAAAGCTGAATACACAGATCAATGTAGTTTTTGAGATGTACAAAATGCTGTGCACTAGTTACTTCCTGTGCTGGATTTATTAGACTCACGTTTCTCATTAGCTTGGAAGCTGTTGTGAGTTTGCCCTTATGTTTCACATGTCTTTTATATTTGCCGTTGATTGTGAGACAGGATAAAATAAATGTGAACTTTTAATCATATGTACCCTTCTTGGAACCTAGATCTCTTAAGTGTTGAAATTTACTTTTGGTTCCTTAACAATATAGCTAAAAATTATGGTAATGTGTAAGTAGGCTTATCTGATAGGATTTTACTAAAACTAAGCTTTCTTTTCCTTATTTGTAGACTAGCAAGCGGGCCACCAGATCTAAGATGTTGTTTACTACATCAGAAACTACAGGTAATGACTTCCTCACAGCAACATGTATGTGTGCATTCCTGTGTCTATTTACATATATAAGTAAAACTTGAAGCTTAATCTGACACGTAAGTGTAGTGATGGCTTATATAGGCTGTTTTCCTTGTGCTGCTTATGGGTTACTTATAATGCCTGTAATTTTTATTACAGCCCAGGAAAAAGAGTAGGAAGAAATAATCAAGCAGTTGATACATTTGGCTTTTTTGTTGCTCAACCATAAATGTTATTTGTTTTCTTCAGATGTTAAATTGTTGTATTGAAAGGAAGAAAGCACGTGATGAGGGGAAAAAGACGAGCCCCTCAGATAATCCAACTAATGCATATCCAGGGGATGCTGGGAAAGCTGGAGGCCAGCTAGGCCTGGACTGTCTCAGAGATACAGAGAAGGAAAAGGGAGAAGTAGGGAAATCCTGGGATTCCTGGAGTGATAGCGAAGAAGAGTTTTTTGAATGCCTCAGTGATACTGAAGACCTTAAAGGAAATGGACAAGAGAGTGGCAAGAAAGGCCCCAAGGAGATGGCAAACCTAAAGCCGGAAGGACGCCTGCACCAGCATGGGAGACTCACCCTGCTGCACAGCGGGGAGCCTCTCTACATTCCAGTGACCCAGGTAGGCCCTCCACGGCTTGTCGTCGACTGGTTTCTTTGTAGCAGGAGATGGTTGCTTTTGGTAGGAGAGATTATTAAAAATCTGTTTAGGTTTAGAATTGAAGTGAATTTTGGAATTTTGAGGTCTGTCACCCTGAAATTGAGTGGTGTTTGGAAGCTTTAGTCGCTCACAGTGCTGAGCTTATATAAGGCGGTTTATTACTTTAAGAGTCTGTGAAATGTGTTTTGATCACACTCATTCTCACCTTCTCCCCTACCTTCCCACCTTCCCTAACTTTGTGTCCTTTTTTTTTTTAAAGTAGCCCATCAACTGCAGTTCTCTTTGCCTGTATACTTTTGGGTATGGGGCCATCCACTGGGGCATGGGTGGCCTCCCAGGAGCTACCCCCGTAAAGAAACCTGGCTCTCTTTGCCCTGGAAGCCATCATCTGTCCATGGCTCCTCAGTCATGGCTGGGAGCTCATGAACCCCTTTCCACTCCATATTGGGATTTGGACTGGCTTGATCCTCTGCAGGCAATTACCGCTGCTGTGAAGCAAATGAGTGCGGTGGCTGTGTCACGCTCAGAAGAGACTGTTCTGCCTCAGTCTCCCCTTACAGTCTTTCTGTGTCCCTCTTCCACAGTGGACCCTGAGCTCTGTGGCTCGCTCTATCCATCCATCCATCTTAGAACTCACTCTGTAGACTAGGCTGGCCTTGAACTGAGAGGTCTCCCTGCCTCTGCCTCTGGGATTAAAGGCTTATGCCACCACCTGGCAAATTATTGGTTCTTAAACTGAGAATGGAGTACTCAAAAAATACAGATGGAAAGAACAAAAGTTTCAGTTAGGATTGTTATTTCTTCAAACATGTTTTAAAGCCATTTTATACCATTAGGAGAGAACAGCAGCTCAGAGTTTGGGAAAGTAAGTTCATTTTTTGGTGGTTGGTTTTGCATAAGTGATAAGTGAATATGTATTTCTGTAAAAAATTGCAGGCTCCTGCCTATAGGTTCAGCTCTTATCCTCAGAAGAAACAACTATTACTAGTTTGACTTATGATTTTCACATTGTTTCTTTGCATTCCTGTGTGCATATTGGTCTTTACAATTTAATGTGGTTTCTGAATGTGTGCATTGGTATGCAGCTCTTCAGCCTGTCTTCAGGCTTACCCCATGCCATTATATGTACACCTGTGCCATTTCTTGAGGTCTTGCTATATGTAGACCACTGGAGACTTGTCCTCTGTGCTTCACAGGAGCCAGCACCCATGACAGAGGATCTGCTGGAAGAACAGTCGGAGGTCTTAGCTAAACTAGGGACGTCTGCTGAGGGGGCGCACCTCCGCGCACGCATGCAGAGTGCCTGTCTGCTTTCCGATATGGAGTCTTTTAAGGTGGGTCACACCCTCAGCACTCTGGCTCTAGTTTCAGCTGCTCTGGGATGAGACTGTGAAAAACACTATAAAGTGGCATGAAGGCTGTCTCTTTTTTAATGTGTGGATTGATTACTGATTACAAAATGCTACCTCAGCCCCTAAAGGACATGGGAGATTTACTTCTTGGGTTTGAACAAAGAAAATGAACCTGCTTTCCAAAGGTGAAAACTGAGTAAGTTCTCTGTGTGTTAGAGATGTTCTTTCCTTCGCATGCACTCAGCCAGTTTAAGGCTTTGGGGAACTCTTAGGATTTGATGTTGTTGTTTTTTTCCCTCAACACACACGTTTGCCACACACTATGAGTAGGTAGGAGAAGATACAGTACTTACTCTATTAAGCTTGTGAGAGAAGATTTATGTATAACTGACTTTTTTGAGCAGGTATGAGAAGTTTCTCAGAAGAGTCAGCCTTTTGGAAGAGTGGGTATTTGCTCTCTGGAAGGGGTTGTCATGGGCTTTGGATAAAAGGCTTGGGTGTACAATACCAACATTCAGGCAACAGTGACATTTGAGTGTCCTTAACCCTAAGATACTACATGAACCAGTATCTGAAACTCTAATCTTATCTGTGTATTTTGTCTGCATGTATATGTATGTGTATGTATGTATGTATGTATGTATGTATGTATGTATGAATGATGCATGAAAAGTAATTGAGTTTCAGGTTTAGACTTGATTCTAAGCTCATTTTGTGTATCTGAAAATTTACAAGCCTAAAAAAGTTCAAAATGCTCCCAACTCCATGTATTTTGGAAAAAGATACTCAACCTGAATGAGAAAAAAACTCAGATGAGGCGGCCAGTGGACCAAAGGCTTCCCCATCTACTCATGAAGTTCTGAGACATCTTCCAGGCTTGAACTTCTTTTTAATCCACAGTGGCCTCTATTTCCCCAATTCATAGCCCTTCTCAGTCCACATCTGTGCTCTATAGGATGGCCTGAGTTTGATTTCCTTCTGAAATGTGTTTTCTTTTTAAACATAAGCATTGCATGATTATCTTTTCTACTTTATTCTCTACCTGTGAGGAGTTGATAATAAAAAGAAGCCTAAATCTCTGCTTATTTTCCCCATAATAACTTTAAAATGATACAGAAATTTGTGACTTTTAGTCTGCTGTGCAATATTAATAGTTGACTTGGTACATAAAGAGAAGCCAAATGGCTCTCTGGGTAAAACCAAAAAGGGGAGTCGGCTGGAGTGGATGCGTGCAGCCTCCGCTGCAGTTTCTCTGTGACATCCAGCTCCCTTCCTGGCTTAGTGCCACAGCGGGGCCTCCGCAGACGCGTACACAAGATAATCCCACACCAGAGCGGTGCCGTTCCTTCAGCACTGTGCGCGAGCTCGTTCGTTCTTTTCGTCTCTAATAACAGTGCTTCAGCAGAAGTGGAGGCACACGTATACGGTGGCTCTGAGAAATACAGCTATGTGGGATAGGTGCTTTTAAAAGTAACAGTTGCTCTAAACACAGGAGTTGCCTCTCCTTTGTGTATGAGAACAATTTACTATTAGAGCTGCTTTGAGATTCCAGAGTGGGGCATGGATACACCCATACATCATAAGGGCTTAGTCTGGGACACCCCTTGTAATAAATCTTTAACAGTAAAAAGAGGATAAGCCATGGCTGCGGCGTCTGCCCAGCCTGGTGTGATACTGAGAACTTGGGGCAGGAGAGGCTCTGCTATAAAGTGCTGACTACTGCTCTCTGTCAAGCTCACTGCCTTTATGCAGACAGTGTGCTGCCTGGGTGGGGTCCAGGCCTTTAAGTAGAAGTTCTGGTCATTGACACGAACCATGGCACAGCCTTACAAGAACGGGTTCTAGGGGGCTGGAGAGTGATGGCTTAGCAGTTAAGAGTACTGGCTATTCTTCCCAGGTGCTAGAAGTTGAACCCAGGTCCTCAGGAAGGAAGAAAGAAAGAAAGAAAGAATGGGTTCTAGAGTTAGTTAAGAACTTCCTTCTGGTTCTTTAGGCTCCCTCAGGGTTAAGGGTGGTCAGGCTAGATGTTAAGGCCCGTGAGTTTAGCCATCGCATTTGAACAGACTTTTCTCACCAACAGTGCTTACCATACCCACCTTGGTACTCTGCTAATAAATACTGGACACTTGAAAAAGAAAGAACTCCCTGTCTTACCACAGCATTGTGAGGCTTCTGTGTCTTCTAGGCTTGAAAGTAGAATTGCTGAAAAGTTTTTGGTGTAAATCATTGTTAATTCTAGATAGTTGTGCAGTGACTGAAACTTTAATATGTTTGCTGTTAGAAGCCTGAACAACAGTAGGGGGATTTCAGTTGCTTAGCAGCACAGAAGTAGTTTCGGTGGAGGTGTTTTATCTGAAGCCCTAGAGTTTGGTAGCTGACTGGAACGTGTGAGGCTGATATTTATCACAGTGCTGGGTTGCCTAAGTGAGGAGAACATAGAGTTTCCGTCACTGCGGTTGGATTGTGTCCGTTCAATACTGAGTATTTAATACTACAAGGTGTGTACAAAGTCATCAGATGAAAATGTGTTTTTTGTTGTTTTTTTTTTTTTATACCTCTGAAACGGAAAAATGCTTTTGGTGCTGTAGCGCCTCCCATTTTACTTACTTGTGTACTTACTTATACTTATTTTTGGTTTTTCAAGACAGGGTTTTTATGTGTAGCCCTGGCTGTCCTGGACTCACTTTGTAGACCAGGCTAGCCTTGAATTACAGAGGTCTGCCTGCTTCTGCCTCCTAGAGTGCTGGAATTAAGCACCTCCCATTTTAAATGTGATGTTCAAACTTAAACTTAATTTTGCAAACAGGTTTGTCAGTAAATGTTGATTTTTTTTTTTTTTTTTTTTTTTTTTTTTTTTTTTTTTTACTTCATTTCGCTGTATTTTTGCTGTAGGCAGCTAATCCTGGCTGTTTTCTGGAGGATTTTGTGAGGTGGTACTCACCGAGGGACTACATTGAGGAAGAGGTGACTGACGAGAAGGGCAATGTTGTTCTAAAGGGAGAGCTGAGTGCTCGCATGAAGATCCCCAGCAACATGTGGGTGGAAGCTTGGGAAACTGCTAAGCCCATTCCAGCACGACGCCAGAGAAGACTGTTCGATGACACCCGAGAGGCTGAAAAGGTAAGAGGAAATCATTATTTAAATCTTAGATACGAGAGTTTGTACCCAACAAGCAGAACATTGAAATTCAATAAGCTTTTGTGTCCCGATATTACATTTAAGATTTCAGAGCTAGTTGTAAAGACAGCCATGGTTTATATAGAACTCTTGCATCTTACTGTTTTATATTTTATATCAGAAGTGTTAGAAATGATCATGTCTAGGGGCTGTCTCTGACATGAACTGTTGCCTGCCTATCACTTCTCGTGGGCAGGGTGAACTTGCCAGGCCACAGAGGAGGAAGATGTAGACACTTCTGAAGAGACTTGATAGTCTGGGGTTAGTTGGTAAGGGAGGAAGTCTTTTCTTTTCTGAGGACTAGGGGACGGGGAAGGAAGGGAAGAGGAAAGACAGGACCTGGAGGAGATGAGGTAGGGGCCTATGATCAGGATGTAAAATCAGTAAATTAGTATCCCACTAAAATGTTTACTAGAGAAATAATGAGAGACACAGGGATCCGTGTACCTGAACATTGTTCAAAGTCTTCAGTGAAAAGGGAGAAACAACCAAACTTTACATGTATAAAAAATGCTTGCAGTTGTTTGCAGTTCTAAAGAATAATGGCCCTGCCTTGGGTCCTGATTGCCCCTTACATCGTCCCCATGAGCAAATTTACCAGTAAGTAAATCCATGCCTCCAGCATTATTAGAGATAGAAATTGGAGAGATCTTTAGAGTAACAAAGAGTAGAAATGAGCCAAATTCCAGTGCTGTTCCCACTGCTGTAGGCTTGTGGAGGTCGTCAAGAGAAGGGAAGAGGAGCTACCTCAGCAAAGCTCTAACAGCGGAACTTTGTTGGATGCTGTAGAATGATTCTTCAGGACCCCAGGAGCCCATGTTGTTCCAGAAGGTTATGCGGTCTTGTTGCCTCTTAGTGTTTTATTCATCAGAACACCAGAGGGCAAGGCTTGTTCTCAGACACCTGTGTGAGGTTCTACCAGCTGTATAAAAATGCTGCATATCAACCATGTACGTACTACCAAGTGCCAGCTAGTACTTGGTAATAATAACAGAGAACTGTTACTGGAATGCATTTACTGTAGTTAACTGGAAGCCATGTTATCCTGGCAGCAGCCTCAGATACCTGCTGTTCACCATGTCCTCTTGATTAGTCGAGAGGCTGCATATGGTGACTGACATGTCGTTTGTCTCTTTCATGTTCATACATAACGAAATCAATGTTGAATTTCTCAGAACATATTTCCATCTTTAAGTACTACATGGCTGTCTACAGAGAAGAGATGATACCTTTAGGGACAGAAAAAGCCCAAGTAAATAAGAGGGGAAGATTATGTACTCTACAGAAATGAAGATGGTGATCCACCTCCCTACTGCTTATTTTCCATTACAGAAACTGCAGAAGATAGCACTTTCAGGTTGTGATGTTACCAGAAAGAGAAGGGCAGAGCACACACTATATAAAACTACTTTTAAAAGCAAAAGTGCAGCATTGGGATTGAAGCACTACATAGTTTTGTTTTATTTAAGCATCCTAGCAGACTGGTGAAGGTATCATCATCAAGGCTTGTACTTCAGAGCCACATACTCTGTTATGCTATTTAAAACAAAAAGAAGAGGGAGGAAGGGAGACAAAAGTTCACATGGCGCCAACAGAGGAAGAGTGACACTGCCAGGAGAGCCCTCTCGATCCTAGGCCGGAGCAGGGACAAGACTTTCTGAGTCCACACCCCTTGCTAAGCCTCACTGTTGGCAAAGCCGGCAGGTGCTCAAGTGCAGCACAAGTCCTGTGCCGAAACCCGGCCAGAGGCCTCTTGATTGTAGGAAGGAAACTCTACATGAGAACCTCACAGCACTAAGGTAAAAATGTAATCAGAAGCAGTCTGCAAAGGAATTGATTAAACAGGCTTCAGATGGTATGCCAACCTCGGTCACAGAGTGACCGCTCAGAGCTGGGGTCTTCACTGTCAGCCAAAGGACTGAACTTGACTTTGAGAAGATTGTAAGTGCAGCAGTCACAGTCCCTCCAGAGTGGCTCAGAGTGAGGCTGGCATATGTGGAGTGAGCTGAGAAGGCTGGCCCAGGGGTAAGACAAGTGTGTGGGGCCCAGGAAGGGGTGCCAAAAGAATCCAGGCTCCAGTAAGCAGCCACAGTATTCCACTCTCAGGGCTATGCAGCAACCTGAACACCAGGCCGGGGGAGAAAAACCTTCCCACAACCTCGTCTCTTTTTAACATTGCAAGTACTTCCAATGAGCACATAAGGGTAAACTCCAGATACACAAGTCTCAATACAAGAAACAGGAGGAAACCTTGGCGACCATATAATATAGGATAATCATACTAAAGTCTGTACAGATAAAGAAGCTAATCAAGAAGGAGGCCCCCGGGTAAGATGCTCAACCCTCATTCAGAAAGGCAAAGGGGATGGACATCAGAAGAGGGAGAAAACAGGGAACAGGACAGGAGCCTTCCACAGAGGGTGCCTGAAAAACTCTACCCTGCAGGGTATCAAAGCAGATGCTGAGACTCATAGCTGGGGCAGAGTGCAGGGAATCTTAGGAAAGAAGGGGGAGATAGAAAGACCTGGAGGAGACAGGAGCTCCACAAGGAGAGCAACAGAACCAAATAATCTGGACACAGGGATCTTTTCTGAGACTGATACTCCAACCAAGGACCATGCATGGAGATAACCTGCACAGATGTAGTCTATGGCAGCTCAGTATCCAAGTGGGTCCCCAAGTAAGGGAAACAGGGGCTGTCTCTGACATGAACTCAGTGGCCTGCTCTTTGATCACCTCCCCCTGAGGGGGAAACAGCCTTACCAGGCCACAGAGGAGGACAGTGCAGACAGTCCTAATGAGACGTGATAAGCTAGGGTCAGATGGAAGGAGAGGAGGACCTCTCCTATCAGTGGACTGGGGGAGAGTCATGGGAGGAGAAGAGGATGGGAGTGGGAGGGGACGAGGGAGGGCGCTACAGGTGTAATTAATAAAAAAACAAATTTTCAGTGGCTGGCTCTTTGATTACCTTCCCCTGAGGGGGGGCAGCCAGTCCTGATGAGACCTGATAGGCTAGGGTCAGATGGAAGGGGAGGAGGACCTCCCTTATCAGTGGACTTGAAGAGGGGCATGGGAGGAGATTAGGGAGGGAGGGTGGGATTAGGAGGGAATGAGGGAGGGGGCTTACAGCTGGGCTACAAAGTGAATAAACTGTAATTAATACAAATTAAAATAAATTTAAAATATTAAAAAATCATTAATCCAACAATAGTGTCCTCCAACATGAGTGAATTAGGTGAAATCCAAAGAAATTAAAAAGAATGATTGTAAATGCATTAAAAAACGTTTTAAAGGTGGTTCTGGAGTGGTAGCTCAGTTGTTAGTAGCACTTGATCTTTTTTTAATTAAATTTTTATTTTTTTATATTAATTACAGTTTATTTACTTTGTATCCCAGCTCCCTCCCTTTTCTCCTCCCTGCCCTTCTCTAAGTCCACTGATAGGTGGACTAAATCCATCTGACCCTAGCCTATCGCACTTGATGTTTAAGAGCACCTGGATTCAGTTTCTCGCCCTCATGTGGCACTGGCAGCTAGCCGTTTGTGACTCTAGTTCCCGGGGTCTGACACGGCCTCTGGCTTCTGCACACCAGGCACACATGTGGTGCATGTGTGCCCGCAGCTAAGACACTTACACACATAAAAGTAAACATTTTTAAAAGAAAATAAGTCAGAGGTCACAGATTCCTAATTGAATGTCAAGATAACACTAAACAAGTGGATGAAATAGGAAGACAACAAAAGATATGAAATTGGAATTCAATAAACAGATAAAAATGCTGGAAATGAAAATTCAGTAAGAAAGTACTAAAAGAACATTTGAGATCTATGGGAATATTATGAAATGTCTGAAGCTATAAATTATTGGCATTTGATGCTAAAAGCACAGAAAATATTTTCATTAAAATTATAGCAGAAAGTTCCCCAAATCTAAGTAAAGAGGTGCTCATTTATGATCAGGGGGCATTTAGAATCTCAAATGGACAACACCAAAGAAAAACCTTCCATATTTTATTATAATGCAAACAATAAATGTACAGAACAGAGAAGGTATATTGAAAGCTGCAAGAGAGAAATGGCAAGATGCATTGTAAAGTTAGGCCCATCAGGGTAGCAGCTAACTTAACAGAAACCAAAAAGCCAGGATGGCTTGGATAAGATTCTCCAAGTTCAGCCTATTGTCTGGCTGTGGACCTTTGCATCTGTATCCTTTGCCTTTCAGAAGACAGTTTTGCTAGGCTCCTGTCTGCAAGCATAGCAGAGTATCATGAATAGGGTCAAGGACCTAATTGGGTACAGTAGTTGGGTACCCAAGAAACTATCGTGCACAAATGAAGGAGAAAATAAAGACTCCACAAGATAACATCAGACTAAAAGGGACATGAAGTCAGCAGGGATAGACTCGGTGGGTCCTGAGGAGCTGGAAGGAGGCAACAGAAGGTCGACGAGAGAAATTGTATACATGTGTAAAATTTTCAAAGAATATTTTAAAAAATCATTCTCACAGAATTCACGGCCTCTAGACCAGCTCTACAAAAGATACTTGAAGGATTCAGTTTTGACTGAAAATAAACACACCCCTAAAGGCTACAAGAAAGAATGAACCACACTTTAGTGATATGATAGAAGGGACTGGGAAACCACCACTTACCAAATGGTGCTGGGAAACTGGATAGCCACGTGTGTAACAGTGAAACTAGATCCTTGACTTTCACTATGTATAAACATCAGCTCCAAATGGATCCAAGAGCCAAAACTCTGAAACTGTCAGAAAAGTTAGTATAAACACTTCAAAATACAGACAGGCGCAGGTGAAGACTCTGAGGAAGACTGCAGTTACTCAGGAAATAATGCTAACAGTTGATGAGTGAGACCTTGGGAGCCTGAAAAGCTTCAGAGTATCTTCATGTCTCAGAGAGGATTAATATATAGAATGTACAAAGAACTCACAAAACTAAACAATAAATCTGATTGTGTAATCAGAAAAGTGGGCCAATAACATAGTTCTTTATATAGCAACTAGTAGAGCCTGTATATATGTAGGTGGATTTTCTCATTATAAAATAAGAGTAAATACTTAAAATCTGAAGAAAACCTCAAAAACAACCAAATACATAGATCATTAGTAATTTTACCTTTAGTTAATTAATAAATTCAACACAATTACAAGGAAAATACCAAAAGATATTATTATGTAGACAGATTAGTTGATGCTAATGTTTGTTTGGAAAAGTAAATATAAAAGCCTCAGACTGGGACTGACACACAGTTGGCTGTAAATGGATTTCTTTAGAATGGTGAAATACTGTTAAATGTTTGGCTGTACTACTGACTGTACAGTCCTGGGTTGTGTTTTTTTTTTTTTTTTTTTTTTAAACTGAGTGAACTCTTCTTTATAACAGGCATGTAAAAACAGCTCAAGCTAGACTGAAAATAAAAAAAAAAAAAACCATCAGGGAACAGGACTGGCTTTGTGTTTAAACAGTATGGTATTAGTGCTTTAATGCTCTAATAAAACAGACTACTAAATTTGTAAATCTATGTAGCAACCTAGTGTGTAATAAAGATGGCTTTTCAGTGTCTCTGTATCACATAATGTTGGGATAACTAGATAGCTTGTTTGTGAAGTCACATGACATCTGCAGTCAGGAAGCAGAGAGGAGTGTGCATACGGTGCTCAGCTCACTTTAATCAGAACTCCAGCCTGTGGGACAGTGCCACTTAACACCTAGGTCCAGTTTCATGCTTTAGTCAGCCTAGTTTGGATACTCTCTCACTGACAAGCTAGAGGTCTGTCTCCCACATGACAGCAGTAACCATCACACCCTGCCAAAATTAAAAGCCTACCACCATTAAATGGTCAGACTATAAAAAGCACATGAGTGATTTCAAGGAAGAAATTCCATCTGTATTTCTGTGTTTGAATGGACCTAGAGACAGAAGGAAATTCAAACAAGGTCTGGCTGATACGGCTAGTTAGGGCAAAGTTAGTGTCGAAGCCCGTGCTTCCTAACCCTGCCCTCAGAGGATGCCTGCATTTACTGCTGTTGGCTAAAGGGAAGGTCCATGTATCTCACGTCTCTGTATGTTTACAACAAGAAACAAAGTTTCTACTCCGTAATGAAAAAAAAAATTGTGAAAGGCCACTATCAATGTTTAGAAACAACAAGAAAATTAAGTAACAAAACAGTATTTACATATTTACTATTAGTGGCTATATCTGATGCCTTAAAAACAACCACCCTAGAATGAAAACATACTGCTGTTAACTGTCTTGTTGGTGCTGTGACTCACAGATCACCCTCCTTCTCTTTGCATGTTCCTAATTTGCATGTTTAACATAAAGACTTGGAAAATTTATGAACGTAATTATTACAGTCCCTAAGTGCTTTCAGTGGCAGACCCTCACCTCTGCCATGGCTGCTGCTTAGCTGGGGGAGAGGCAGGAGTGAGCCCAGGTCAGGCTTCTGTGTCCTGGGGATGCCCAACCTGCAGTGTCTGTCTCCTGCGTCTCCCTCAGGTGCTGCACTACCTGGCCGTGCAGAAACCCGCAGACCTAGCTCGGCACCTCCTGCCCTGTGTGATTCATGCAGCTGTTCTCAAGGTAAAAGAAGAAGGTAAATGTCTCCACTGAGTAGTCCTAAAGTGCATTTCCAAAGAAGTGGTTTGGGTTCCATTTTTAACCGTGGCTTTAATCTTTTCTACATAGAAAGTCTGGAAAACATCCCTTCTGTTAAGAAGATTATAAAGCAGATCATAGCCCATTCCAGCAAAGTCCTGCACTTCCCCAATCCTGAAGACAAGAAGTTGGAAGTAAGTGTGCGCTCTGTCAGGGTCTTGCCAACACTTACTTTACCTTTCTAAAAGCTGTGTTTAAATTTTTCTTTGCACATGTAGTTATGGGATGGGGAGGGTGGTGTGCAGGCAGGTCAGAGGACAGAAGAAGGTTCTCTCCTTCCACCCCGTGACTCAGAATGCCAGGCTTAGTGGCACATACCTGTCCTTGCTGAGCCATCTCATTGGCTCTAAAGCGGTTTTTCAAGGCTCTGCATCCCTGCTCTCTCAGTGCTTGTACCTCCCTTTCTTCCTGTAGGAAATCATCCTTCAGATTACTAATGTGGAAGCCATAATAGCCAGAGCCCGCTCCCTGAAGGCCAAATTTGGAACTGAGAAGTGTGAGCACGAGGAAGAAAAGGAAGATCTTGAAAGGTACTGTTTCTTGTGTATCTCCCTCTGCAGAAGGACCAGCTGCTTGTGGCTGGGATTGTGGCATGGTGGCACATAGCTGTGATACCGGTGCTTGCCAGGCTGAAGCGAGAGGTTACTTTGAATTTAAGCCCAGCCTGGGAGACATAGTGAGTTGTTCATGTTAGCTGGGACTATACATGTAAACCACAAACAAAAGAACAAAGTGAAAAAGTTCTCCCCTTTGACTAGAGACAGAGAAAAATTTAATTTTCTTAGGACTAGAGCTCTGCTAAATTCCCACCAGGCATTTCTGTCACTCCTTTTCCGTGGGTGGGTTTAAGAGACGCTGTCAATGGAGCCCACCCTGGATGAGGCTCAGGTTCCTGAAGAGCCTCACCCTTCCCTCTTCCCACTCTAGGTTTGTTAGCTGCCTGCTGGAGCAGCCTGAAGTGTCAGTCACTGGGGCAGGAAGAGGACATGCCGGCCGGATCATCCACAAGCTGTTTGTGAATGCTCAGCGGGTATGTGAGAGTCCCCCTCAGCTGTCCTTGGCCCAGGATGGTGTCTGAGTCCCATACCAGGCTGACAGCACAGAAAGGAACAGGTCCCAGGGCTTTGGAGGCTTTGAGGTGCCCTGGGTTAAGGAGAGTTATCACAGTATTGCAGACTAAACTATGGAAACAAGAAGGCTCTCACACCCACTGTTCTAGAAGCTGGTGGGGACTTTTAACAAGGGCCAGAGCTGTGGTGTGGGAAAAGGTGTGGATAGCCTCAGTTTCTGACTAGCCTGTACTAGAGATTTCTTAAAAGGAAAAGGACTTCAGGCTTCAGCACAGAAGGAAATCCAGCCTGAAAAATGATCTTCGTCATTCTCTCCACTGATGAAAGTTACATCACCCCTTCACAATTATGGGGTGTTGATCATACATCTGCATACTCCCCCCCACACGTGCAGGCATTGGTATCCCCTGGGGCACGTTAATATCAGGGATCCCAGGTATTGTGATGTGCATTAAATATACTTTTTACTGATCTGGGACAAGATGACCTCAGAAACACCAGCGCAGCGTTGAGCCAGTCATTCTCTACCAAGTAAGAATTTTCCTTGGTCCACACATGGGCTTTGTTAGGGCTGCTATTGCTGTGACAAAACACCATGACCAGAAGGGAGGGAGGAAATTCCTGACGAAAGTCAGAGCAGCATCTCAAACAGCAGGAACCTGGAGGCAGGAGGTAGTGCAGAGGCCATGGAGGGTGCTGCTTGCTGGCTGCTCCTGCTTTCGTACAGCACCCGGGACCACCGGCCTAGGGGTGGCCCCCCACCCCCAGTGAGCTAGGCCCTCCCCATCAATCAGTAGATAAGAATATACCCTACGGGCTTTTGTACAGCTGGATCTTTCGGAGGCGTTTTCTCAACTGAGGTTCCCTCCTTTCAGAGGACTATAACTTGAGTCAGATTGATACAAGACTAACCAGAATATGGATTAACAGCTGCATAGTCCCCACTGAAAAAGCGATATTTAGGGGGTAGATGCCTAAATTTAAATTTTTCAAGCTAAAGACCAAATTACTTGATTTGCTTATAAATTAATGACTTCTAGGAAGCAATACTGCTCTCTATTGTCCTCTGTGGCTTCTGTTCTTACATGCTGTGTATCTCCGCCAGCAGAACACCCAGAGGCTGCTAATGTTCTCACCACCCCCGGCTGCGGCCTGTCCTCAACAGGGAGGACTCAGATCTTTAGTGATTAAAAAAAACATGTATTAAGCTTTAAACTCAGAAATGTCTAGATTTTTATTATTGAGAGTATTGCTTTTTGGGGATGATCAGATTGTTCCCCTAAACTAGAATAGTCTTTTCAGTCCTTCTCTTAACTACACAGAGACTAGAAAAACAAAAATGAGTCAGCATTTCCCTTCTGTCAGCATTTACTATCTTACACTCCAATATGTGTTTCGTCACTCAGGCTGTTCTGTGCTTTATTGCTTCTACTTATGCTGATTATCATGCTAGAAAAACAGCATCCTCCTCATGGACCTAAAGCTGTGACTGTATCTCTCACAGATTCTCATAGTCCAACCTGGCAATGAGTGCTTTCAGGGACCCGTGTCTTGACCAGTACATGGTGGTATTTTACTTCAGCTCTAGCTGTCTGGTGGCAGTGAAGTGTTGAGTTTTATGTAACTTTTCATGATAACTGGATACTTTGTATCAGTTTACTAAATAATGAGGATTTAATTATATTTAAGGCTTAGCTGAACTTTATAGCATACATTAACTTCCTAACTGTAGGCCAGTGAAGTGGCTCAGGGGGTAAACTCTTATGCCAAGCCTTATGACCTTAGTTTATTCCCCAGAACCTACACGGTAGAAGGAGAGACCCCGCCATGAACACTGTCCCCTGACCTCCACATGTCTGCTGTGGCAAAGCCTATGCATATATGCATGCATGTGGATCCCTCCCCTCCAAAAGAGAAGCAGAATGTAAAATATTAAATTTGTGACTGAATAAAGTTGACTTTGACTCTACAGGTTTGGGTATGTACATATTTAAATAGAATTCAGCAGAAATGACTGATTCTGTTTTAGTCTTTCTAAGTTGAATTATTCTTAGACACCTGTTCTTAAATGTATGGGTTATCTGTTGAGTCACCTTTTAAACCAGCATCTTGTTGGAAAGTGTGAGGGTTTGCAGTCCTTTCCTCATTAGATGACCCTGCATGTGAGGCGCTGGCCATGTCAGCAGTCTGGTGTCCGTGTGCTGTGCTTTGCACACCTCAGTATTCCTTGGATGGAGTCATGCCCCCACACGGTGCATGCTGTTTCTGAATTGACTGTGGGTCTGCCCAGCTCTTTAACCACCTCTCTCGCTCCCTTTCATCACTGTTTCTTTTCTCACCTTTCTCAAGCTGACTGAGTCTTCTGATGAGGTAACAAAATGGCCTTATGTCCCTCATAGTTCTTCGTCCGTCCCCATCCCTCTAACTTCATAAGGTCATCTTAACTAACCACCTTTCTAATGGGCTGGATTTGGCATCCCCTCTGGCTATACAGCTCAACATGACTTCATGGTTCTATTGCCCAGAGATTTTCCCAAGCACTGGAATCATGAAAGGAGGACAGGATCGAGTTCTGAGGGTTACGTTTGGGCTGCAGTCTGAATGTAAAAGCAGATGCCTTCAACTTTGAGCACTTTCCCTTTTTTGCCATCACCATGGCATCTGTTAGCACGCTGTCACGTTAGCTTCCCAGCAATCAAAGCCAGTGTTCCTGGTTCTAATTTGGCAAGAGACTCTGAAAAGAACTGATTGAGAGAGCAGAGATTTTTTTAAAAATCCCCTTTCCAGACTTGAGAGCAAGTCTGCCCGGTTAACGTCTAACTGGGCTTGCGTCACTGCCTGAAGCAGTGCAGACGCCAGCGCAGCTCCACCACTGCTGAGGCGCCCTGATGCCCTCGCTTTTCAGAGCAGAGTGCCTGGCCACCCGCCTCTGCCTGCCTCGCTAGTGCTGCACGCTCCTCCAGCTTCCTGCTTTTCTGTTTTTGTTCTTTGAGCACTCATAACACACAGTGGACATAATGCATTTCCAAGTAACACGGGACGTTGTGTGTTTCTCCTGTCTGTCCGTCCGCCTTTGGTAGCTTAGCTTTCAACCAGCTCTTGAATTTTCCATTTGGTTCTGTTCAAGGCTGCTGCAGTGGCTCTGCCGGAGGAGGAGCTGAAGAGGCCAGGCTGCCCAGAGGAGAGAAGACAGAACTCCGTGTCCGACTTCCCGCCTCCTGCAGGCCGGGAGCTGATCCTGAGGGCCACCGTGCCGCGGCCTGCCCCCTACTCCAAAGCCCTGCCGCAGCGCATGTACAGCGTACTCACCAAGGAAGACTTCAGACTTGCGGGTGCCTTTTCCTCAGACACCTCCTTCTTCTAGGGGGAGGAGGAGAGGCAGCTCCTGCCATGGACACCTGAGGGCCACCAAAATGACCTTGTCCAGCCAGCAGCGGGAGCCACACCAGCATCCAGGGGCATCTCCAGCCCGACCTTGAGCCAGAGGGGTAGATTTGAGGTGTCAAAGACTGTGTGTGGGGAAGACGGCCTGTGTGGGTAAGCCGCACATCAGCGGTCCACTCCCTTTGGGGACAGTTTGTTCATTCTCCTGTCATCTGTGTAGATACTTAGTGGCTGTTCTTCTTAGATCACGTATGCAAATAGAGTATCTCTTACCTCAGGCTCTGGATAGTTGGGTGGTGGCCTTTAGTCCAGAGTCTGTTTTAAACTGCCACGTGGCATTCTGTTTATTCAGTCACCTGTGGTCGCTTTTATTACGCTGTTTGGTGAGCATCTGAATACCCTAGGAGAAAGACTACAACTTCAGTTTTGTTTTTCCATGTCACTCTAACTAAACGTATTCCTTCTCATCAGTCTGTACATGAAATGTCCCTGCAGATTAGCCCTCTCTCTCTAGCTCTGTGTATGTGTGTATGTATGTATGTGTGTCCGTCTGTACGTCTTTCTTGTAGGCTCTCCTTGTCCTCTTGGTTGGACCCCTGCCTTTGCACTTTACTTCTCTGTTGCTGGCTGGGGACAGTATTTAATGAAGTCCTATGAAGAACAGAGATCCTCAGTCTTGGAACAGAGATCACGGGGCGGCTGGTGAGCTCTGGGGTGTGTGCTGAGGCCGTGAGTGCGCAGAACCATATGGCCGCTTGGCTCTTGTAGCTGTGAGTGATTGGGGCCAAAGCACCCAGCACAGAGGGGATGGTGCCGCCCTTTGTGCAGCTCAGCTCAGGATGTGGGAGTGTGTCGCTGCAGGACCTCTCTGTGGTGATTGTAAATTATTTTGGGACCTAAAATTCCCACTTGAATCCAAAGTAAAAAAGGGTTATGCTGAAGTGTAAATTCTGCCTGTGTGATTTTTAAAAATTAATAGAACTGCACAAACCCTGTGTTATTTTTGTAAAAAAAAAAAAAAGAAAAAAAAGACTATATACATTATCTATATAGTGTGTGCGGACGTGTGTCTGTCCATGAATAGGCAGGGCCAGGTGCCTACTCCTAGGCCTCACAGCGCTTTCCTCTGAGATGCTGGGCTTTGCCTCTTAGAAACCCATAGACAATGGCCAAGGCCTAAGCACTAGAACATGTGGAAGATGGTTCCCCCAGGACAGTGTCCATCTGCTTTCCCTGGTATTGACGGCAGAACTCTACAGTGTGGAGGTTGGTCTCAGATGCCATTGTTGATCTAATAAAAAGGACTGGTGTCCATGTGGCTACTTGTGTTTCTTTCCCTGAGAGCTTCCATTACTTAGTTCCTGCTGCTCCAGGCAGTGTCTCTAGAATGTTCTTAATGCCTTTTGAAGTATGGTGTCCGTTCTCTTTTTCTGGTCTTACTGCTTTTCATTTCAGAAAATAGAAAACACCTGCTGTTTCAGTGCTGTAAGGAATGATGTGTAGGCAAACGCTACAGTGTGCGAGAGGGTGCTACTATGTGCAGCATGCCCTTTTCCTGTACCCTTCCTGAACATGGGGAAGACTGACCTGAGGCCACCCTGGCACAGGTCAGTCCATGAAAAGTAAGGTACAGAAAACCAAGGCGGGCTTCGAGGCCCTGCATGCATCACACGAGGCCACTTAGCACTAGTGATCCTGGGTGCAAACTGAGGAGAAGGCCTTGTCACACTTGCTTGAGACCCCTGGCACACATGAACATCCCCTATAAATACAAAAGTTTGAGAAGTTCTCAGCAGCACTGGCTGCTCTGGTAGAGGATCAGCTTCCCATCCCAGCTGACAACCGTCCCTAATGCAGTCCCAGGGCCTGACTCTGCTCTGGCCTCACATCACACACACAAATGAAAACCTTGAACAGGCAATGTTTCAGAAGTGCCCTGCCGGGTACGGGTTGGTGCGCAGCACAGACACGATGTATGAACTGCAGGAAGGGCTGGTCTCAGCTGTGCTGTGCTTGCCTCCCAAGCGGCAGGTGCCGTGACCTCAGCACCAGGGAAGCACAGCAAAGTGACGCAGTGACAGCCCAGTAGGAATGACAGAGGTGGGAGCACCAAGCGCTGTGTCTGTGAAGTGGCTGCCAGAGGCTCCGCCAGCTCAAACAGGCTGTCATCTTTACCTCTGTCCCAGTCCATGCCAAACGCACGATTACACAGCTGCCAGGGATGAAGGGAAGGAAGGGGGTGAACAAGAATGTGTGCTCACAGGCTTGCTTTCCTCTCTTCATTCCTTAGGCTCCTGTCTGTGGAACGGTGCCCCCATTTACATGGGTTCTTAGCCCTGTGGCCATTCTGTGAAAGCCCCCTAGACTCCCAGCGCTGTGAATTAGCAATCTAGTCACTTCTCAGTCCAATCATGAATAAGCTACTGACCCACTCTCTTTCCCAAGCATCCTGAGCCTCCATAGTGACCTCTGCTACTGTGGGGCAGGGCATGGGCCACTATGCCATGACCTGTCCTTTACCAGCTGATTCTAGACCAGTGGCTTCTAGCTAATGCAGGGATTTGGCAGTCATTGAGTGAACTGCCAAGCTCCCCAGCCCGTGGGCAGTTTAGTACACAGGGGCTTGTAAGGACTATGGATTTACCTTTCTGAGCCCTAATTTTGGCCCAGAACAGGCTTTATTTTTGCCAAAGTTGTGTAAGGAAGGAACCGTATTCTTAGCCCATTGGCACTCTTCTGCAGTATCTTGCCTACATGAGACATAGAAATAATTTTAGCGAGTGAATCTCCCAGTCATTCTCCACTGTCCTGGGACAATGAGGGAGTGAGGTGGCGGGTGAGGACAGGCCTTTTCTCTGCCTGCAGCCCAGCTAATCTGAAGGCTGAGAAGTTGGGCTGAGACCCACCCAATGCCAGTGGCACTAACGTTCTCTTGACACAAAGCCCAGGGATTCGCTTTCTTCTCCTCTTAAAAGAGGCAGGGTCTTGGGTTAGAGAGATGCCTCTGCGCTCACGAGCACTGGCTGCTCTGAGGATGCAGGTTCAACTCCCAGAACCCGTATGGCATCGCACAAGTTATCTAATCCAAACCCCTCACACAGACATACATACAATACACATAAACTACAAATAAATTTAAAACCAATGAAATTTAAAGTGGGGGGGGGGCACCAAGACTGGCCCAAAACTTTTGGGCTCTACAGATCCTCCAGCCTCAGCCTTCGAGGAGCTGGGCCAACAGGCAAGCCATCACACCCATGTACTTCACACTTATTCCTGTTACTCCAGGGGAAGACAGGAAGCAACAGCCTTTTGTCCTATCCTGTCAGGTTAAATCCTGATTCTATGCAGTGATTCACACAAGAGAAGGGCCTGGACTGGCCCAGGACAGGGCAGTTTTTTCACATGAAGGCACTGGACACAGCATGCCACACCTAGGACAAATGGTCACAATGTCGTGGGCAGAGGCAGAAGGCTACCCTGTGAATGTGGCTGATGCCCTGACGTGGAGTGCCTGCTCAGAGCTGCATTTCTCCAACAGGATCAGCACAAAGGCCCTTAGGCTGCCCCATCTCCGTGCAGGGGCCGGGCTGCACACCGGTGCACCCAGGAGGCAGCACTACCTGGCTAGACACTCCAGGGGGTGATCGGGCACGCACAGGGAGGACCCGAGAACCTGCTCAGCCCACAGGCTGCGCAGCCGAGTGCTGCCAGCAGAGGCCGTGGGGACATCACTCGCTTGTCCAGATCGACACCAGCACAAGCCAGGACACACGGTTGCACTCCAGCATCTCATCTTTCCCTTTTTCTCTGTGAGCTCCTGAAACTGCCAGGGGAGAGCACGGATTTTAAAGTGCTCGCAAGATAACAGGCATATGCAAGGATTTCTTAGGACTTTAACATCACAAAAAAATTTTCCTAGCCTGGAATGGTGGTGCGTGCCTTTAATCCCAGGACTTAGGAGGCAGAGGTAAGAGGATCTCTTGAATTCGAGGAGACCAGCCTGGTCCTGATCTACAGAGTGAGTTCCAGGACAGCCAGGGCCACATAGAGGAACCCTGTCTCAAAACACCAGACCGAAGAAGGAAAAATTATCCTAAGAATTGACATATGGGATTATATGCAGCCAAGAAGTTTCTGCACCACAAAGCAAGAGCTCACAAGAGTGAAGAAGACCTTAGTGGCCTTCAGAGCCTGTGTTTAGCCGCCGCCTCCTCCCCCAAAACTGGAAATGAAACCCAGGCCTGTACATGCTGGGCAAGTACTGAATCATTCAGCTGCTCCCCAGAAAAACAGCCTACAGGACAAGATAAAAACATCCTTGCCAACTTATGCATTAGACAGGCAATTAATATCCAAGATATATAAAGAACTACAAACAGTTTAGGCTGCAGAGATGACTGGTTAGGAGCACTGGCTGCTCTCCCAGGCGAGGAGGAAGGTCTACAGCAGATATTTTAAAACCCCTTTACATCTCCCCAGGAAAAAACAATTCAGGAGCAAGACATGGGGAGATGTCACCTCGCACACTGGGCCAGGCTCAGGGAGAGGTCACCCCCGCAGGAGCTAGACTGGAGGAGCCTGCATCTTACATACAATACAGGAGCTGCGCACACGTAAGTCCGGTGACAGTTCAGTGTGACGCTGGCTGGCTGCAGTGGATTGGTACAACTCTGAAATTGGTTTTCTGTTACCTAAGATGTCAATCAAGCATGTACACATCAAGAGACGGCCGTGGTTCCAAAGCTCAGATCCTAGATCCTGTCAGTATCACCCGGGCAATTTTGAGCCGTGCAAATCCCTGGGGCTGAGGAGATGGCTCAGCTGATAACGTTTCTGCTGCATGAGGACCCAAGTTCAACCTCCACAAGCCAAGAAAGAGCCAGGTGTGGCAGCCATGCTGGTGAGACTGAGCCAGCTGATCCCTGGCGCTCACGGGCCAGCTCCACTCGCCCCAGGTGCAGCGAGAAAGCAGGCCTCAAAGACTAAAGGTGAGCTGGCCACACGTGGCTTTTGCTTTGCTTTTGAAACAGAGTCTCTGTAGTCCTGTCTGTCCGGAACTCCTATGTAGATCAGGCTGGCCTTTAAACTCAGATTTCCTCTGCCTCCCGAGTGCTGGGGTAAAGCTGTGTAACCACCACAAGTGTCTTTATTTTCAGCACTCAGGGCCAGAGGCAGGGGACTGAATTCAGGGAGGTCGTTGAATTTAAGGCTAGCCTGGTCTACATAGTGTGTTCCAGGCCAGCCAGCGCTGCATAGTGAGACCCTGTATGGGGGACAGAGAAAAGTGGAGAGTGGCTGGGAAGACACCTAGCCCACGCTAGGACCTCAGGCTGCATGCTCCCACATTAACAACTGTAAACCCTCACAAAGGAAAAAAACAAAACACGGAGACACCAGCTCCTTAGTCACTCAGCAGGCCTGAGCAGGAAGCTCTGAAGCAGGGCAGCTACGTCCGGGAACCCACGCCCTCTGGGATGTACCCTCCTGAGGGCCTCTTGGTTACAGACCTTTGTGGGATCAGGACTGTTCAGACACTAAACAAAATCCGCACACCACAAACCCTGACCTCCTTTGACTGCAGCAAAGGTAATTTCTACAAAGCAACAAAAATTAAAATCACTATGGTATTAAAAGCATAGCACTGGGTGGAGAGAGGGCTCAGCAGTTAAGAGCGCTGGCTGCCCTCGGATTCCGATTCCCCGCACCCACATCGTCGCTTACGGCTTAAAAGACACCCTCTTTCTGGCCTCCAAGGGTTCTGCATGCACAGTGTGCACAGACTTACACACAGGCAAAACGCCTGCCACGTAAAAATAAATACTACAACAAGAAAAGCATAGCGCTGAGGGAAAAGCGCCTGTCAGCAGGGTCACGTGGCCAGAGGCCATGCAGCTGCAGGTGAGGTGAAGTTGCTTAGCAACACTGAAAGAGAAAATGTCTCCAACCAATGCATTTGGGTCAAACTGAATTGAACTGCAAGTCTGGAAATTCCCTGCACCAGAGCAGTGTGGGAACTCCGACCAACAACAAGTTCGCAGCACTTCGAGAACAGGCGGTGAAGCCAGGATGGCTCACACCTGTACTCCTCACCCCCAGGAGGCTGCAGCGGACTGCTGAGCGGGAGGCCAGTCTGCACTCCATAGCAAGAACCCAGAAACAAGCCGGGCGCAGGGGTGCACACCTGTAATCCCAGCACCCGGGGAGGCAGAGGCAGGCGGATCTCTGTGAGTTCGAGGCCAGCCTGGCCTACAAAGTGAGTTCAGGACAACTAGGGCTACACAGAGAAACCCTGTCTCAAAAACAAACAAGCAAACA